GGGGAGGGCTGAGGTAGTAGCGCTGCGTCGCTGGCAGGGGAAGCTCAAGCCCCACACGAGCTCAGGGTTTAAGGGACGGTGTTCCTTAGGCTTCCAGCGGGTACCCCCTGCCCCGCCCTCCACCCCGGTTACCCAAAAAGTAAGATTTAGAAGGTTAAACAGGAAAAGCGTACAAGAAGTACTCAGTATGTTCTGTATAAAGGTGAACAATAGGTATGCAGCTCCAGCTGATGGCAGAGCATGCTTGAAAATAAGCTATGAGGTGTGTTCACTACCTGGCAGGTTTTTTACACTTGTAATCAATTTTATACTTTCACAGAATCACAGAATCGCTCGATTGGAAAAGACCTCTGAGATCATCACGTCCAACCGCTCCTGTCTACCCACTAAACCATATCCTTAAGTACCTCATCTACCCGCTCTTTAAATCCATCCAGGGATGGTGACTCCACCACCTCCCTGGGCAGCCTGTTCCAGCTTCTGACGACCCTCTCAGTAAAGAACTTCCTCCTTATCTCTAACCTGAACCTCCCTTGGCACAGCTTGGTGCCGTTTCCCCTTGTTCTATCAAATAATGTTCTATCTTTCATAATGGAAGAAACTCCCTTCAGTAGCTGCCAAACTGCCCTTCGTGTTATTGTAGCTTGGTGTATGCATTTGATGATTTTGCAGAATCTACCTCAAGTACCTACAACTTCCATGGGAAGATACCAATATATTTTCATGTTGAATAAAAACCAAAAGACACAAGTATGGATCATACTTATTTTTTTTTTTTACATTCATTATAAATAATGTGTACGTTGGTTCATCTTTCACTTTTACATGATGTTGTAAGGACAATATATTACACCAGAACAAAAACTCAATAGAAAAAAAAATACAGTTGTTTTCATTTACACAGAAGTCATTTGTCATGAAATGACAGCATTTGACACCAAATAAGAAACTTAACAGGTAAATGATGGAAAACCTGAGAGATGTCATTGGCTGAAAGTAAACAAAAGGATTTCACTCCTGATAGATCCAGACTGGCCCCTGCTCTACCTTACCTATAACCTGGCTAAAAATCAAATATGTTACAATCCTATTTTTCAATCAGAATTCAAAGAACTAATTTTTTCTTGTATTTAAAGTAGTAGCTGGAGAATGTGTGCCAATGCATACTTGTAAATCATGCTAAATCGACAAGTAGCACTTTAACTGTGTGAATTTAGTACACATAAATTTAACTTGGGCTCTCTGCTCTTCCTAAACACCCAACCCGAAATACCTATGTGCCTGTAGTTTCACAGTGATTCATAAAGAGAAAACATTTAAAACACCTTCTGGTAATAAAGTAGTTAATAACATAATTAGCAAGACCTGTTGTATGAACAAGGCTTAGAAATTCAGTGACTTCTGACTGGTACAACACCATTAAATACTTTGGTATCTTTAAAATGCCTGTACTGCATAGGAGACACATGCATGCACAAACGACTGCTAATGCTTAATAACTTACAAGTTTATATGCTTATTTTCAGTAGCCTGGACTGTGTGAAGCTGGCTGCTTATCTTCTGAGCTGACACAATGAACCAAAAAGTAACACGATGCACGTTTGTAAGCAGTGCTGCCTTTCCCTGCGTTCCCTCCATTTGGGAAGGGATCATCCTGAATTGTCCTGTAGCAATGACAACGGTACAGTACAGAAAGGCCCTAGAATATGTAATTAGAAAAGGCACTTCCGAGAATTAATTTGCACAAGTATTCCAGTGAAATTGGAGTTTGGTCTAAAAACTATTTACCAAACATTCTCCTCCGTCTCCTCCTACTCACTCCCGTGGTTATTTTTTTGATGTGAAATGAAAGAAAAGTAGAGCAAGGTAGGATAGGGTGAGAAAGGGAGAAGTCAAAGTCCCTTTTGTCTCTTTCTCCCTTCTATTCCAAAATCTGGGTTCCCTTTTTGGTACTGTGCTCTAGAAATTATTGTATATTTAGTTTATAAAAACCTGGAAACTACCAGCAGATTAAAAGAATTTAGTTAAGTAGTCTAGCCTTTAAAATGAATAATGTGAAATTAATTCCGCAATAGTTTAAGTGGAATACTCATTCCCTCTGTTCAGTGTTCAGACTTTGGTCACGTACTGAGCATTAGAAGTAAATCTAGGTCAAGATATGAAGTAGTGTTACAATGAGCTATCTAATAATATATTTCTAAATACAGTTCTGATCATCTCAACCTCATTTACATGGTTTCCTGGAAGTATTTTCAAACTTTGCTAATTTCTGTAGCATAAGCATGGTTTAGGGTGTGCGCAGTATCGCTAACATGCAGCCCTGGTACCCACATACAGAGCTTTATTGTAACTGATATCACTTCTCGATTAATATTAAAAGAAACATCATCGTGATACTTCAAGCTTTAAAAAACTGTGATTTATATCAGTGCAATTTGTCAATTCAACACATTTTGAATTTGTGAAAAAAATTTTGCAGCCTCTAACAAACTGGGTATGTAAATCCCTGAATTTGAGATCACTTAGAGAAATACCCCCTGTAGGCATCGAGAGTAGCATAGCAGTGTAATAATTTATAAGGACTTTGTGATACTCTAAACCGCTGTTCTTCCACGATTGTATTTCTATTTCCACTATATTGCCTGCATAAAGCAATGGAGGAGGAGAGGAGGAAGTCGTACCCTGGATGTCTCATTCAGTCCCTCAACTCTCCAAAATTGGTAAGTAACCACATAGATAGCATCCCCTACAGCCACATGCTAATCAGTACCAAGCAAAAGTCATTTTCCATAGGCTACTGCAAAGCTTGTAGGTAGGATTATCCCAGTTTCTGGGGGACTTTTGGCTCATTACAAGTGCTGTCAGAACTGTCACCTTGCTGGCGGTCTGAGAAAAACACCTCCTCCTCCTCTGCATTCACAGTTCATGCATATTTAAAGAGGTCTGGTTTCAAGTATTGCCAGTATGGCCCCTTTCACCAGTTTCCTTTACAGTGTTTAAATGTGCCTTACTGGTCTGACAGAGGCAAGGCATGTGTAGGGCATTTAGACCGTTTGCAGTAATAGGTGATATACAAGGATTTGAGCATGCAAGCTCCTGTTCAGCAGTTTCAGTGTGAAGGTGTTCCCAGAAAACTTGCATTTCCCCAGGCTCATGGACTGACAAACAGGAGGTTTCATCTGGCACCACGAACCTTGATGCTCCTTGAGCTTCAGGACTACAGCACTTCTGCACGTTGGTCTAGGAGTGCTAAGGTAACATCCAAACACAATCCGGTTTATCCTGCTTTTCCTAATGCACCTTTATCTTCATCTATTGACATTAATATCCACATTTGTAATGCTGAAGGAAGCTAACTGAGGATGTTATTCCCTGAGTTCTTCATATTCACATTAAATATGTTTCTACACAATTACAAACTTAGATTCTGTGCTAGGATTTATGACAAGACAGGCCTTTCCCAATTATCACTCGGGTTAAAACACTGCATTAATGGCAAAGGTCCACGTCTGTGAGGCCTAGTGACAGGGTTTCACTGAAGAAATCATTCAAGTCTCTCTCTTCATTCTTCTCCCAGTTGTTTAATAGAGATACTCCATTGCTTTGCTGAACTTAAAAATTATATAAACAAAACTTACATCTTCACTTGTTTGGTGACTCTTCCTTTGTTTAGTATAACTTATTTCTGCATACAGAAAAATTAAGGCCTCTACAACTTTTAAGTTGTCTGGCAGCACAGCATAAAAAAAAAGAAAAAAAAAGTAGTCTTTATTTGCCAGCTGGAACATTTCTTCTGCTGAAATACTGTTATGCTTAGTTGGAGTAGTTGGAGCAGTAGTCTATTTACATATTTTTAAGAAAACCTTTTTTTCTGAACTCTGCTGAGAAACAGCCATGAAGAATAACCCAGAAGCTTAATGCATAAAGTAGAAGATACTGCTTTACAGAAACCAGAATCAGTTTGCAGGACAAACCGTATCAGGAACATCTTGCTTTCAACAGCCATTATACTGACAGTGTTGAAGAGTGACCTATCGATATTACGAGGTTTGGACCATGAAGTATCCTAGAAAGCCAAAAATATTTAGAAGTTTTGAATTATGTGACATAAGTTTGCTTTAGACCTTGGCTTCAATCTAGATAGGAATAATTAATTCAGTACAGTAAATTCTGAATTGATATTTTAAATTAAAACAAAATTAACTTAGAAAAACATGTTCTTTTTATGTAGTGAAGATTACTTTTAGGCAAAACTTAGCAGAAAACGTCTAGGAACAAACAGAAGTTCTCTTTTGGCAGTGTCCAGTTTGGGATTTAGCTCTGTCCTTTCCTTGAGGCATCGGTTCACTACAATTCATCAATACAAAAAGGCAACACAGTGAAAAGCTGAAATATTAACATTTCAGTAAAGTGCACGGGACCGTGGCAGACTCAATGGCTTTGCTATGACCTTATCTCGGATGCTGAATGAAATGAGGGGGATGCCAGGTTCTTTACTATTCTATTGAGGTTGGCGATTTTTTCCTCTAGTAAATAGTTCTTCCTTTCAGCAGATTTCTGCCGCTGCTCTGTCATCTCCAAAGCCTTCAGCAGTTGTGCGTTCTCCACATAGAGATCCTTGACCATCACGTCTGCTTTGGTGTTCTTGCAAAGCTGAATTGTGAATGGAGCATAATTACTCAGGAAATTAAAAATAAAGAAAAATAATTAACAGCAAGAACCGTGCTGGGAAAGTAGGTGTCCCAGCCCTGCACTTACCTAGTGATTTTTGGGAAGAGCCCTCTGGCAGGAGGCCCTGTCAGTACAGCACCTCCTTAATGTGAAGGAGGAGACTGTAACTCAGCCGAAAATAGATATTATTGGGGCACACCTGTCTAAGTGTTCACAAGCCACTTTTTCCTACACCTGAAGAAGGCTGACCAGGGCAAGAACAAAAATCCCCAAAATCATGGCAAGCAAAGGGTGTGTTGGGGCAGGGAGCATCAAGAAATCAAGAACTGTACAGTAATTGAACACTAATTCTGTACTCTTCATGAAATGGTTTGTCCTCCTTTTCCAATTACGATACTTGGCTGGAATTTGGTGGTTGTTTCCCCGATTTTAAGTGCATCAGCTTATCCAACATAGTTTTTAGGAAATAAATGAGTGGTGGATTCAGTCCCCAATTTGGAGTTTTAGGAAGTTTTGGGCAAATAAGCTACACTTCAGAAGCATTAAAAGAAAAAGGAAGACACCTTTAAATTTATTCTAAGCAAGAATTTGCCCACTTCATTGTTTAATGGGGATGATTTGAGGAAGATATTAAAAATGCTTACTTGTTCTTTCAGCTGATTTACTTTATCTTGGAGAAGCCTCTTCACAAGCCTTAGTTTCTGCTCAACATCCATCATACGTTCTTCCATCATTTTTAGAAGCTGCTCATGACCCCCCTGGAAAGCAACATTTATGTGAGAATCAGTTAACAAGAATCAGTTCGCATTCACCAATCTCCTTTTTTTATTCAGTTTATGCTTAAGAAAATAGCTGGCACTCCACATGTGAGTCTATTTTAAGGAGTCGACTAAATCAATAAACCATTAATGAAAGCAAAATGTCCTGGCAACACTTCAAGGACACTCACAGCATTGAACTGGTTTTCCCAGTCAATGTTACACTTGAGATTACCAGATCTAAGAAAAATGGATATAAAATTCTACGCTGTCTTGACTGTAACAGGCAGATCTGGATAGTTTCCTTTTCTGGTTCTTAGGTGCTGCCATATTTCTGTTGAATGCAGGAAGGAAAATACCAAAGACCCCTCGAAATGGAGTCATATCCTAAAAAAAAATCAGGATGCTATTATCCCAAACTTGATTTTTTACATTTTTTAGATTAGTTGTTGATGTTCCCAAATGGTAACTCTAAAATGCTTTTGCTGTGAGGTAACAGTCTAACTAAAAGCACAGCAACTCAGTGTCACCAACAACTGAGTGAAATTTTCCCAAATAAATTAGAAACACCAGGAACTACAAGAAAGCTTGTTTGTATTTCGGAACTTAAACACTAACTGCAAGGAAAGGGATTCTTTGTTTTCATGCTAGCTTGCTACAGTAATTCTAGTAAGTCATCTAAAAAGACTAACTTTGAGAAAGCACTAACCTTCTCCCCAAAATAAAATCCCTTCAAAACCAAAGTATCTTCACACATGTGGAGGGGACACATGAAAACCTGAGGGAGGAGCATTTCAGCTCATTGCTCATCCAGACCACTGTAGAAATATCCCCTAGGGGATGGACTGAAGTCCACTCAACATTTTGTTTGTGTAACACCAGAAACTCCTGAAGTCTATGGATGGGGTTATATGATCACTTAGCTTGTGAAATTTAAAATTTTCCAATTTGATTGGAATTCAAAACCACGGCTGACACTCACACTTCATAGTGGTTGCAGGAACCTCGAGTGAGATGTGAAAGCTAAGAATTGTAGTGGTTGCAATACCTGTGATCCCTGGTTTTTGGCTTAAAGTTGAGTTGAGAATGTTGTGTCTAACTTGATATTATTTCATGTTTAAAGGGAGAAGCCAGCTCAAGCATCAGCTTTAAGGTCATCAGAACGACAGGAGCAAAAAGATCTTTGAAAGCAAACATGAAATGGTTCCTGGCTCCCAACTAGAAACATCAGAGACCTTAAAGAAGTGTTTTGCTGACCTCTTCAAGTATTAAAAGTCTAGTTTAATCTAGTAATTTGAGACAAAATAAAAACCACTAAGGAATGTTATCCAAAACCCAGGTATGTTCATTTTCCCTTTTCTGGCACTGCCCTTCTACTGAATGGCCACAGCAGCAGAACAAGCCCATGAACTGTGCAAATTCTTTCCTTAGATGTGCAGGTACATCTGCTAAAGAGAAGCTGAGTATCTGTACTTAAATACATCCTCTATTACAAATCTTTCCCAAAAGTCCTGATATGACAATCCTCAGTATCAAAGACAGATATTTTGTCTAAAATCTGTTAATTCTCATTCATAAAGCTGAAACTATTAAGACAAGAGACGTTATGTTTAAAAAAAGATTTTATTTTTCATTTACATCAAAAAATGTCATCTTTCCCTGTTAAAAAGTTTATACATCTCATACAAAAATGCAGTATAAATACCCCAGATTTTCTTCCAATCTCATATAAAATTAGTACCATTTGAGAAAAATAGTCTCTTTCCACACAGAACAACGCCCCATTTTAAATAACATAAATAAAAAGTATTTGTAACGGATTAAAAAAAAGACAGCTTATGAACTTTCACAAAATAGCTTCTAGACAAATAAATAAGAAATAACACTGTGGAAACTTTTTTTTTTTGGAAAAAAAAAAGAAGCACAAAAATAATTTGATCCTCAAGTTTCTCAGCTTATGCCAGTTCGTGTGTTTGTGTGTGTTTGTCATGGTAAGGAATGAGATCGCAAGCAGCCAAACTGTCAGAGGTGCCCGATCCTCCGGTAGGAATCTGCATGCACTGCTCGCTGCTCCGGTAGCAAGGCCTAGAGAAAGAAGGCAAGTGGGATACTTCACCCTGATATCCAGATTTGTTGTTTAAATACGTACGTATAACTTAAAGCAAACCACCAAGTGAAGCAAGCAACACAAGACAAACAAAAATCACACACGAAAGAAAACATGCAAAGTATCACATATTCTATTTCTCTAAACACTCATATTAGCACTACACAAATGCAGCTGAGGAGATATTCAGATGCAAGGACTAGGTGTAAGGACTCTTCAGATAGCTCATCCGTGTTTGGGGGAATTTAAAAAGGTCAGTGGCAGTTATTAACTGCAATTAGCAAAAGCAATTAAGTTTCTTACAGGAAATAATCTGCCACTATATAAATATAAACATTATAGATATAATCTCACAGATTGCTGAAGAGCATTTGTGTAAAGTGTCCAACTGACTCCTTTGAAAAAGCTTATTTCCATTTCTATTTAAACCTAGTGGTAAGTCTTTTCCTGAGACAGGTGAATAAGCTGTTGGTCAGGGCTGATTTGAACAAGCTGTTGGTCAGCTAAAAAGCTGAAGAAAGGGGAAGTTGAGCAACTATAAATACTCTGAACAAAAATATTGGTTAGCAGAGGTTTTAAGAGAACTTAGGAAAAGATTGGGTCATTAACAGGCTCCCAAATGTAGTCATTGAATAAGGAATACGAGAACAAGTGCAGCGATTGCTGCTGTGCAGCAGGTACAGTCACTGGGAATTCAGAAGAGTCCGCACAGGTTAACACAGTAGAAAAAAAGCTGAGGAGTTTTAATTTAGGGAAATTTGAGTGCATGGCTATAGCCTCTGGAGGGCAACAGCTCAAGCCTGACTGTAAAGTGAATGAAAACGCAGAACACCACAGCCATGAGCACAAAGCAATGAAAATTGCAAAGCAATAGGAACATAAAATAATTCCAAAAAAATGAAGAGGGGAACTTTGGATACCTCGTGACACAGAAGGACTCAGGATCTAAGAAAGCTGCAAAGTGCAAAACAGCAGCAGCAAAACGAAGTGATTAAATGTATACAGAAAGCATGGGGATAACCTGACATCGTACTCACTGGTGAAAAGGTGATGAAGAGGGATTAGGATGCAATTTTTCAAGAGGCTAAAGGGGACATTAAAATGGACATAAGCTCAACTAAATGTTAACCCTAGAAATCAGGCTGACGACGAAAAATCAACAGTGAGAATTAAAGCAAGATGTGATTACACAAATGTCAAAGTTGTGACATACCAAAACAAATTTGGCCATGTTTAGTTATAGAATGCATGTGTTTAATAATGATTAGAGATATCATCTGATAAAGTCCATTAAAAAAGCTGTAGGAGATGTTATCAACTGGAATATCCATTCACTTTAAGAAAAACAGTAAATAAACCAATGGGAAAGGATTAAGTGCATTAGTGCATTGAGGGCAAATATTTGCAAAGCCTCTCAAAGTATTTTTAAATTCATGAAGCTTTCCAGAATAAAAGCTTTCACAGGAAGTGCAGCAGTGATTTATCCATAGAACTACAAGTTCCAGGATGTGACTAGTTTGCAAGTTGTCTCTTAGGGCTTTCAAAGGCAAAATTACAAAGTCATCGCTCCTCATGCAACGCACAGCACATTCATTTGCAGATGCTCCTGCTGTAATATGGCTTTTATTGATTTGCAAATTCAACTGCACGCTCTATTTTCCATGCTTGAGACCAAGTACATCAGCCCATGGCAATGCACTTCTATCAGGACTCAGCTGAAAGGGAGAGAACCTTACAATTGATTTCTTTTTACTTATCCTATATTATTTGCTGTTCTTTTATGGGTGGAAACTTTCTGATTTTATGCCTTTCTTAAAAGAATTGTTACACCAAGTTTTGGAACCTTTAGACGCTGTTACTGTGTGTACCGTCTCCATAATACCTTTCCTCCAGAATATTCTATTAACATGTTCAGAGATTTTTGAGCTTCAAAGTCTTCATCTTATTAATTTTAAGAAGTGTAAGTGTGTAAGTGCTATCTGAGTTTAAAATGTATAGGCCTTTTTTTTTCTTCTATCATAATAAAAATGTTAGTATTTTATCTAAGTTATTTAAAGCTTTATCTTTTCCCATAAGATAAAGCTGTAATACTATTTTAAGACCTATGGCCTGAGCCCAAAGCTTTAGCAATTTAGAGACTCGGTTACTTTTTGAAGAAGAGTCATTTGGCAAGCCTAGTCCCCAGGCTTAATTTCACATGGGAAATGCCAACTTTTTTACCTATTGCCTATAATTTAGTTTTCCACGTAAAAAAAACCCAAACCACCACTAACAGTGACTCTGCTCAATATGTAGCTGCAATCTTCCTTGGAATTAGGTGTTTCTCCTCAGAAATGCCAATGTGGAAGTAACAGTTCCTCCAAACAACATCTTGTCTTGTGGCCAAAAAATGAAGTTAGGCTGACCTTATAAAAAAAGATTAATTTGTTTGGATTCTGTTTACTACAGCTGACAAAACTCCACGTGACAGCAACGGCCCAAATTAGTATCATACGTTTGATGGGTATGTGCTTGTGCAATATGTGCTGTAGTGTATTTTTTAAAACAATGGTTCCAGACATTGACATTAGGTAAAGGAAACAAAACAAAATAACAAAAAACCTCTATAAACACTTACTGCACATTGATCAGAAGGAGAAAAGCCAGTTGGATGTGGATGGGAGTGTTTTTTATTTCAAGATGACTAAGAGGACTTCAGAATGAAGCTATGGCTCAAGCTAAATGTTCTAAATAAAGGTTTGTTTTGCGCATAGCTTCGACAGAATGAATTTTAAATTTTCAGTTTTGAACTGGCATAAACAGAGAATGGATCTCATCAGAACTGAAAAAACGAGTGAGCTAACCAGATACCCTTTGAAAGTGGTAACCTGCAGAGTAAGAAGAGCTTTACCTGTTGCATGTTTGTTTCCAAGGGTCTGCTCTCCAGCTCTTCCTGAAGACGCTGATTCCTCCTCTCCGCCTGCAGCAGCTGGTGTTGGAGCTGCAAGAGCTGCTCCTTGGGCACCACGGCACAGCCTTGCTGCGGGAGCTCCCGGCCGTGCGCTGGCTGGCTAAGCATCACACTGCCGCTGGTGTGGAGCATCTGAAGAGCAAAGCACAGCCGTCATCAGGAGAAAGCAGCGCTGCCATTCATAAAAGGTATTTTTCAGCAACATGCTAGACATCGGGTTACTCTTGAGAAATTTCTTGTGTGCAAGAGGAACAAGCCTCAACTCAGTATGAGCTAAATAACACATTTCTCTTTCCAATTAAAAAAGATGCATCTTTATGTGCAGTTCTGAAGTCTGAGCTTTGATTCGTCATTTCAGTCCTGAATTATAATTTCTGATGAAATCCTGTCAAAGTTAAATGGGCCCGTGGTGAGCTTTAACTTCATAGTCCTTTTTAATTTTAACCTTGATCTGAAGCAGCTCTTCCAAAAATACCATCTGCTTACAAATAAAAGCACTAGCCTGAGGCTGAAGAAGATGTCCATCAGGGCTGACTATTTCTAGTCTAATCTAGGATGGAGAGAGAACATTCTCAAAAGCAAAACAAATTTTCAATGTCATGTATGATGGCTTCAGTAATTTGAAGCCAGCTGCTATGTTACATTCAGAATTCAGTGTTTAGAATCCCATCTATCTTAGGTTCACTACTAACTGTAGGAATTTTAACACATCTCATAATTTTCAGTTTGAGACATGCCACAAGGAGAGCTTGAGAGCAAGTCTGGAAATCCCCTGAGTGTCTGTGCTGCATAAACAAAAGTGTACTTAGAGGGGCCCTTAAGACATGGCTGCATGTAGTCATCTGAAGCAGCTAATGCCAAATTTGTCTTGCTTTCATATAAAAAAGGTTACCAAATGCTTCAGCAAGTCTATGTAACATAATCATAGTATGCTCTGACAGTTACTGGATGAAGGCAGCTAGAAAAAGGCATTTCTGGCACTGCCTTACCAAGGTAGCATTGCAACTGCGAGAGCCTAAGTTAGGTAAACTGGCCCAGCATTAGATGTACTTTCAGACAATATCAAGAGCTACGATTGTTTCGTGTGACTATTTATTTAGCATTTTTCTAGACTAAATTAAAACAGCTCACAGTTTTAATAGGTTATAATAACTAAAAAAAAAAAGACCAGAACTGTACAGTAAGAACCCCTGATGTTTCAAACAAGCTGATTTGCAGCTTGAATTTGTGTAAGATGAATACTTTCTTCATGTAAAGTTCAGTTGACCACATCATAAAATTCTCACCATTACTCTGTTTCCTTAGGAAGAGGTGTAAGTGATTGTGTTAGTGGTTTTAATTTTCCTGTCACAAGTGGTAAAATGAAGGCCTCAATTTGCAATCATATTTCAGTTATTGAGTTCATCTATAACAAACAAACTATAAGTATTTTTCATAATGGAGCAGTTGTTCTGGCTATGTTGGCATCTGTACATCTCTGCTGGCCCTGGTAAACAGAAAATAGGTCTGGGAGTATTTCAAAATACTATTTGTATTTTTTTAAGCTCTCAGGAGGTTTCTCTTGAATCAACTTGTCTGTGAAGGAGCCATTCTTTTACTGACTACAGAAACACTACTCCAAATAATGAACTTTTGACGGAATTTATTTAGAGTTTCCTGTAATGTTGTGAGGCACATGAGCATCTAATGAATCAGCTGAAGAAACAATTTTAAGAGCATCTTAACAACAAATACCAGTTGCGTGGCTAATGAAGACAACATAGCCTTGCTGTATTAATCTGTGGGAGAAACTGGAACAATAACGAACTCACTAAACTATTAGGGATGACACTGAGTGTGATCACATAGCAGTTAATATTAAGGAATCATTGGAGAGTCTGGTGAAAAAGCATGCAGATATCAGAGGTAAATATGCAAGCACCTTCCAGCCTCACAGTCAGTGGGTTAGAAGGAAGAGGTTGAGCCACTTTTCATTTTCTTATGATCAATTGAATTCTTTTGAATGCAGTTGGTTATTTTTCTCCATTTTCATGGCAACGCCTCAGCAGTATGCAACTTCTTGGTGTACAGAATCAAATTGCAGGATATACTAACCACAAAGAAGTTAGTGCAGCTGTCAAAGCTCAAAGTTCTCATTAAAATGAATAGTGGCTTCTTTACTTAAAAGATGCATGGAATTTAAAAAAAAAATCCATACAAGAAAGCGATGTTTTCTCCATGCCATGGTAGTACATTGAAAATTATTGCTCTACCTTCGCACACTATTTCAGAAAGAGAACTGCACCCTTCTCTGCTACTTCCAACCACTGAGTTCTAGACAGGTTAGCCACGAACAGAGGGAGAACAGGCACAAAAGAGAAAGTTAGAAGTCATAAAGTGCTCAGTGAATGTCACACACACCTGCTGGGAAAACATTATCAGGAGTAACAAAAAGTCCTGCATGTTTGAAATACAAAATTTAGGAGAAAATGCCATTCTGTGCTTGGTGTTTGTACTAAAGGGTTCAACAGTGTTTGGAATTTTCCCAAAGCTTATTTAAGACTATATAAATGAAAATGTAGGGCATATAAACAGTCTTTGCAGTAACTTGTCAAAATCTCATCGTTTCTAATTAAGTTTTTATGACTTTTTAGCTAACCACATAACATATTCAACATAATGTTTCCCATTTGCTCTCTCGATGAAAAACATGAAGTCTTTCCATAAAGTGCTGTAAAAGCCTCATCTAGAAGATGCTCTGATTTATGGAACAAGTCAAAATTGTGGGTTTTTTTAAAATATATTCTGTTTTAAATTCAAATTCAGGACATCAAGTATAGGCAAGGCTGCTGAGAGACAACTCAGAGGTGTAGCCTGACCTTAAGGGCTACAACAAGTTAGCATGAGCTTGCCCGTTCCTGTGTCCAAGGACACCCAAGAACAATGGAGTCTTCATAACATCCAGCACAACCCCTCTCCAGCAGCACTGAGCAAACCCCCCCATTGACAGCAGGCTTTGGGAGAACCTCAGCTGAAGTTTTCACTCATTAAATTAACACCAAGTTGTGTATATTGTTATTCTATCATGATCTAGATAAGATAGCAAGGTTTAAATTCAGCAAATTATTCCCATAGTAAATAAGAACAGGTTTCTACATTAAGAGCAGTGTTACACAAATATTAGTTAGGAAACTTGAGGTTACGTGTTTTAGGAAGGAAGAGGAAAATGTTAGCCTTGCCTCAAGCACAGAAACAAATTCCTTGGCTATTTGATTTTATATCTGAAGCCTTATGTGAAACATGATAAACCAGAGCAGCATGTTTGTCACACGAGCATCTGGATCACGAAATATGAGATCAGTCATTAGGGGAGATGAACTTCTTTACTTTCAATTCGTTTCCTCTGTTCCTACAGATCTAGAAGTTGTTTTTAAAGAAATGCATAGACTCGGTGGGATAGCTATAAAGCCCACACTATTCAGTACAGTCAACACTGATTGAAAAAGTACCTCCATTAACTGATCATCCAGTTTGACTTGCTTTTTTCTTAGCCCTTCATTTTCTGAGCTGGTTTCCAGTTCACGTTCAAGAGAATTCATCTGACTGATCTGTTAAAGAGAAGAAGTTTCCTTAGAAAGATAATAGTTTCTTACTGGTTTGTACATTTTTTCCCCCCAGAATCATTGCACATCAAGACAATTCAAGATTAAAAGACAGAAGTATTTGGACAAATATAATGCTCTGCGTCTAAGACAATGCTATACAGTGTCATACAGTGTCTCTGACACAAGTTTCAAAGAACAGGCAGGGTAACTGATTTGTAACCTAAAAGTGGTAACACTAGCATCAAGCGCTGTATTTACCATCAAAAACTAACCTTCCTGTTTGCAGACGACAACTCCTTCTGAAGCTGTTCACACTCTCTCTTCAAGCTTAATTTCTCTTGCTCTATGGCTTTGACGATACCTGCCTGGCTTTGGTGCTTTTGGTGCTTGAGGGAAAGGACAGTAGATTCCAGCTGTCGGATCTGGAGAGACCAGACATGAACAGATATGTAAAGACGTTCCAGAGCGTTCAAAAATCAAATTGCATTTACTTCATCTCAAATACCAACCAATTGCAGACTCATAGCAGAGTCTGGTATGGTTTTGACATTTTAGATTTGAGCAACAAAAGGTCTTTAGGTCTTTCCTTTCCTCCTCCCCATAATCTGCCTAATACTGTGAGCCAAGAAATTGCACATGAGGAATGCTTGGAATATTAAGAATTTTTTCTAAAGAGACAATACTTGAAGGGTGTTAACTGCAAGTTGGACCAGAATCTTAGACAGTATTTATCAGGATTTTCTTTTCAAAAAGAGCTGTTTGAAACATTATAGGAGTGTCTGCATACTCAGTGCAGATACAAAGGAAAACTTGTTCATTATGTGTTTTTCCTGTAACGTTTCTATTCAAAAGGAAGGAGCAATGTTCCTCTCCTGTATTCCCCACTGCAAACCAAGAATTAAGGCAAGGACCGCCTCTGTGATGGGTTGAGCTTTGCTCAGGTTACCTTCTCCCGGGAGTGGGTCAGGTCCGTTTTAGTGCTCTGCACCTCTCTCTGAAGCCTCTCATTCTCCTGCCTGAGCAGCTGCTGCTCCTGCTTCCTCAGCTGGTCCAGTTCGTCCCAGTGCAGTTGCCCGTGTTGGTCCTGCAGCCCTGGGGAAGGCACAGCCCGTTCTAGAACCCGATTCTTAAGACAGAGAATTGCAGGGTTAGGCCTTACACAAAGCACCAGACATTTTCTCTATGCAGGTGGGGTTTAAGCAGGCTTTTGAGGAACTGCCGACTCGAAAGTCACAGGATTCCCATCCTCCTCCCAGCCTACACACAGTTTGCCACTAAGAAACCCAACATCCTAATCCCCATGCAAACCCCAAGTGGTTCCTTTGGCTAAAACCAGAGATAATAGCTGTGCGCCAGAATGGCTGAGAGCAGCACGCAGAGTTCAATGCCACAAAACAGCAATTTGTGCTCCATTTCACAGCCTCATCAAGCAAATAATAGCACTCAGTATTATATATTATGCAGTAATAGCTGTAATTTAGTTCCTGTCGTACAATTCTGAAACAGCCTCTTTTCCACGTGGACATTAAATATTCCTTAATTACATGGCAAACAAGCCAAATTAGTAACTGAATTCATCATACCAATCCCAAGACTGCTGTCTACAACCTCCTTCAGCTACAGTTCCTCAGCAGTTAGGAGAGGCTGACAGAATACTGTGCCTTTCAAAAACAAGTTTGACTGAAAATTAGATCCCTCTGTCAATTATTAAATTGTTAATACATTATAGTTTTGATAGGTGTTAATTCATACAGTACCCATAGATTTTTATTTTTTTGCAAAGATTTCTTTCAGGGGAGAATGGAGCCTCAGGAGATGGACTGATCATTGCCTGTCCTCACATTCAAAACTTCAAGTAAGTTGGGGTTTTTTTTAAATGTAAAACCTGCACATGATATACGATCTGACAAAAGTAATGATAGTTAACTATTTTGAAATGGAAAACTACCAAACACAGAAAACATCATTAAAATAAGGCGCTTTTTTGCATCCATCTCCTTTCGGCTTTTTTTTTTTTTTAAATTATTAGCTTTATATCATTTGTTTAAAAAACTATACAATAGGTGCAGTAACTTAGAGTCTACTTGCTCAAGCCTGCAGCACTATTTGTGTCCTTTTAGTGGGCAACCTAAAGAATTAAGTTGGCTACAGCAGTGCAGCAGGTGGCATGCAAAGCTGATGGCCTTGGAGGCACCCAAGGTCCAGTACCTTTTCATGGGCGTTCTGCAGTTGCTTGTGTAAAGACACCACTTCTTGTTTCAGAGTTTCCTTCTCCTGTTGCGTTACCCGTAAATCCGATTTTAGCCGGGACATCTGAAGGTTGGCATTTTGCAGCGTCTCATCCAGGCTCTGAACCTGTAACGAGCAGGAACACAGCTTGGCATTTGCTGGACCAAGATTTCTGGGAAGCTTGGTGTGCCGGGAAGTGTATGCACCACATAGCACACATTTAAGATCTCTGATGGGAGGAGTGAAACAGTTATAATGCTGATAAAAATTTAAAATCCCTTTTAAAAATGCTAAATGATTTTCTGACTCTGTTCCAAATTAGTAGCCATCCACTTTAAGCACAGCCACAACGCTGCATTCAAGAGAGACATCTTCCAGCCCCGAATATTTATATGCTGGGAAGAGACAATTTCTCTTGAATTATTTATTCTTCCTGGCAGCCTATGGCCAACAAGAAGCCCCAGGTGTAATCAGCCGAGCAGGGAGCCATTCCTTCCCCTCCCCGCATGGTGAGGGACAAGCTATCACCACAAGAACAGGGAGCAGCAGCAGAGTCTCTGCAGCATTTTAGGAATAACTGGGCAGAAAGAATTGGCAAAAGGAACTTGTCTGTAGATGCAAAACAGCTTATTCTCAGGGGAAAAATGTCCCTCGCAGCATTTAACAAGTTTCCTCTTGTCCTTTAAGAACGTCACTTTGAAAGCTGATCAAAGAGGCTATTCTTAGCTGCATCACATCTCTGCACACATTAGAAGGGGGCTGCTTTTTACAAAAAAAAACAAAAAAACAAAACACTACATGAGATTAAAAAAATTGCTTTTTATCTCGGGCTGTAACAGAAATCCCTGTTATACCTTTTCTTGTGAAACGGCGAGCTGTGTTTTCAGTGCCTGACTCTGCTGTTCCCAGCACTTCTGCTCCTGCTTCAAGCTGCCAATTGCACTCTCTAAGCAGCTTACTTGAGCTACCTGAAATAAGATTACACCGGTAAGCCCGACTGATGGAGGATTTTCTTTAACTCAATTTGATTTTGAGGGTTAAGCTACAGGGAGTTACAGCTACAGTTATCTCCACACAACGGGATCACTATTTATAGTGTGTGTAGTAGTTACACTGCTCGAGTTGAGTTACGATATGTTGGAGTTGCAATAAAAGTGCGAGAACACTGCCTTCCTTGTGCTGCTGCAATATTTATATCCAGGCCTCTGTTCCTTGCAATGTTTGGAATTTTCTACATAATCTAATCACAGTAAAGCTCTGCTCCAGAATTTAAACTCTTTAAGACCAGCTAGGAAAAACAAAAGGTAGCAACAATTAAGCCTTTATCTGGCTTGTAGCTTTACAGGTTAGAGTGACACAGATAATGATAATGAGAATTTTAACTGCCCATTACAGCATGTAGGTAGTGATGTGGATTTGCAGATCTTTCTTACCTTATCAATACATCTGTTTAATTCCTCACTCAGGGCTTCTTTTTCTTTCTGCAGCTTTTCATTTTTAGTGATTAGGCTCGAAACTTCGTTTTGAAGGTCGGAGAGATCAGGACATCTGGGCAGCTGTGGAAAACAAACCCCTCACAGTTGAGTTTCTGGGTTGTTTCAGAATTTTGCATATGAGTGTGACACAAAGCTTTCTCTTCTCATCTGGGCCAAGCAACCCACTCCAGATAGAGCAGAAGAGAGAGCAGCGCTCTCCAATTTGGTACAAATGACCATATGAGCATTGTTTGTATGATCCAGGGCATTCCTAATTGCCCTGTGACCCCTCAGATTTGCTTTTAGGGCTGGGTCTCTCTGCCTTTTCTGTGAGAGGGGAAAAAATTACTGTACGCTGACTTCTGATCCTTTTCCCATTTGACACAGCACTGTAGCTTAACAGCCGGCCTTCTCTTGTCCTGTTCTGTCTTTGCTCTCTCAATCTTCTGCCTTTAATTACACTCAAGCCACAATCCACTCTTTACTGAATAGGCCTCAACTGCTTTTGCTTTTTAAGACCATTATCTGCCCTAAGCATTGGGTGCATCAAATGAGTGCTTTATGCTGTAAAGAAAATTATTTGGTGGAGCCCTAATCAGGAAAGCTAACTCATTTGTAGCCTTCATTATCTATGTTTATTAGCATATATTTACAGCCAATTGAACCATGCTTATACAGGCGATAAACCAAACCCTCCAGGAAATTATCCTCAGAAGTTGTGAGACGTTGAAGTCTCCAGACGGGTTTAGCAATAGGAATTCTCTCTGAGAGGACATGCAGGAAGACACCAGTCCTTAAACGGAGCTATTCGGGTATCACCACTCACACAGGAAAATTTTGCCCTGCCAATCCCATCTGCACGAACTGGAAGACCTCTGTCTACTCCTTCATTAGAGCTTTAAATCCTTGTCAAAGCCTGGCTTTGTAGATCCCCTACTCTGGAAGGCCTTTTGGCAAAGGCAAAGTGAAACCAACTTTACTTGAACAATTGTGCATTGTACCCAGAGACCATTTTAAAAGGATTTATATTCCCCTACTGTTATGACCCTTCTTTAAAGAAATTAACTGTTTCCAACACAAGCAAGAGAGCAGGGCACATTAAGAGCCAGCCAGCGTTATCACCTGGTGGCACTCAAATAGGATGCCATACCTGTTTTGTCTTCTCAAGTTCTTGTTTGAGGATGTGGTTCTCCTGCTCCAACATATGAGCCTGAACCTTCAGTTTTGACAGCTCCATCTCCAAGGAAGACACCATATTTGATGACTGCAAAAAGTAAAAAGATCAGATTTGAACTTGAGACAGAGCAACAAAGGGTCAGCAGAGGATGGTGCAATCAGTGACAGGGGTTAGAGCTGGGATGGCACTGGACTGAACAGAACAGGCATGCTGGAAAATGCAGGTAACTATCCATTGCTAAGCTCCATTTTCAAGACAAACCTGCACATTTTTACTTCCCTGCTTTTGGCTGCTGCTGTGCCTTTTTTTCCACCCCCACATGACATCTGCAGCTAGTACAGAGGAAAGTTCAGCTTTGAAAGACCACGCACAGCTCAAGAAGGGGATGCAAACACCATAGCACCTGTGCATTGCTAAAAGTTCAATTATTTGATGCTGTTAGTGTAATCCCATACCTTTACTTTGGAGTTTTCCAGTTCCTCTTTCAGTACCAGCCTCTCCTTTTCCCATTCTTCCAGGGTGCACTTTCCCACTTCCCTTTCCTTTTGCTTCAGCACCCTCACCAGCTGTTGGTTAAGGTCCTGCACATCTGCTTGATTTTTGGAGTTCCTCTGGCTGAGTTCTGTATTTTCAGAGTCCAGCTGCTGGTTCCTGGTCTTCAGATCTGCTACCTGCATCGGGACAGCAGTGTCAGTTATGACTGATTTTAAGAAAACATTTCCTTTCTGTTAAGATTATTAGAAGAACTGACAAGCGTCACTCCAATTCAACGGTGACTCTGCATGATGGAGCTGTTTAACTTGCTCCATGCCCTAATTTTAGGCCAAATCCAACAGAACCATATTTAGGTCATCCTCCTGATGGCCTGCTACATGCATAGCCAGCCTTGCAAACTTAAATTCTCTTATTTGGCCTCAATTATAGCAGTTATAACATCAGTCATCTGGCACACCCCTCTGTTCCTCCTTCCCTTTGCCACGCTGATGGATATTTTGAGGATTATGCTGGTGAGCCACTAGATTATTCTGAGCAAGTAGGATTTTACTAAGCAATAGTAAGAGAGAAATGAATGTAAGAGCTACTTAAACCTTCTATTTTGCCTAGCATAGCAATAGAATAAAAGTAGCAGTCTCATGGATCCGAGCAAAGGGTGATGGCTGGCAGCATTCCTAGACCCAGCTAGCTGGGAAATAAGTAGAGGCTGAGTCACATAACACTTGTTTCCCATGGGCTACTGCAGAGCATTACCCACAAAGACTCCAAAAGACAGATTTTTAGCATTATCTCTCTATTAAAGAAACTTTCCAAGCTGACTATGGGAAGTGCTCTCATGTCTGTAAGCTGGACAGTTACAGTAGCATTGCAGTTGTCTTCTGATTGGATCAAACAAGGCTCATATCAATCCCAAAGAGTTGATGAGAACACCTATCAAAAGGTTTAACTGTATATAATATATTTCTGCCTTTGTGACCATCTACAGAACAGCTTTCATACAGTGATGATTTCTACAGAGAAGGTTATAGGCTCAGTCCATATACCTGCTTTTTCAGGTTGTCAACCATCTTCTGTACAGCCACTTTCTCCTTCCTCACAGACTCTATCTTTTGCCTAAGGAAAAATGAAAGCTCATTAACATTAGGGTCACCTCTTAATATACAGGCCTACAAGAATGGGCTGGGTTTTGACATAATGAGAAATTATATTTCTGGATATTTATTTAGAGCTTAGCCTGAAGACACACACACGGCACATGCCACACTGAATTCTTACCGCATTTCTTCTCGGGATCCATTCAGCTCCCTCAGTTTCAGGCTGGAGGCGCTGCCTTCCTCATTTAACAAAGTCACTTCATTTTTCAGAATAGCATTTTCTTCTCTGAGCTTCTCGGCTTCGGACCTGGGGCAGAAAGATGAGACAAACAAGAACGGTTTCTGTATATTGTCTAGGCCCACAGGGAGAAAAATTAATAACAGCCTAACTATTGCTACCTGTGATATTTCAAAACAAAGCTACAATTGACTTATTTTATATGTGAACAGTATATGGATTTTGCATTTCATTTCGTAAGAGTGCTCTCAGATTGCTGAAAAAGGGACTTCTTGTGCATGTTTTCGTACAGCTAAAGTTAGTTAAAATCTAAGATACCTCGTAAAAGATTCACCCTAATATTGCCTATACCTTTCAGTCCTTGCATTACAAATAATGTAAGTTTAACCAGCTGCACACCACAACATGCAGCCAGCCAGAAGAGCGAGCTGTTTCTATAGCGCTGCGAACAGCCACGTTGGAAAGTGCCTTTTCTGTCCTGAGGCGACTGCAGAGAAATGACTTAGGTGCAATACCTGAAAGGACAATTTCCTGCAGGAAGCTGGTGCTAAACAATAATTAAGCCACTTGTCACCACTTTATGGCCTCCAAAAAAAAATCCGTGCTGAAATACAGCAGTTAAAGCCAGGTAGGTAACCTATTATGTTCTCTGTGCTATAACAGTATTTACCGTATCACACGCCTGATGGATTCCTAACAATATGTGCTCTTGCTGGGAAAAAAGTTACCATAATTCTCTAGTATTAACTCAAATATTGAGAAAAATAGAAGCAGTTTTAGCATTCCAAGTAACACTCAGTACTAGAAGGGAGTGAATCAGAAGTGATATTAGTAACAGCTAAAAGCATTCTGGAAGTGTTACCACAGTATTTTGGACATTAAAATACGACATAAAAATACAGGAGTTTGTGATGTACCCTAAGCTACACCCTACAAAGGTGACTACGTCCCCAGAGAGAACTGCTGGCAGGTCGCTCCCATTTTATCATTCGTGTTAGGTCACGGTCAGAGAGGAGTAAGTCACACATTGACTTCAATGTTGTTATCCGTGGTTAATCACCCACTTGCTAGCAGTTAAGAGTCCAAGGCACCGTTTTCTAAATCAAAGTTAATCTACAGTGGTTAATGCGGCAACCGTACGCAGGCAGGCGGCTACGAAGCGATGAGTGGGACGCTAGGTTAGTTTCTAAGCAGCGCGCTTGATTACCGTGGGGCCAGCGCATTTCCCACCAGGTTTTGGCAAGCGTACATTACCTCAGATGATCAACTTTCAGCTGCAGCTCCGTGCACGTGCTCTGTAAGCCGTGTGTCACCATATTCCTCTCCTCTCTCCCTTGGAGGAAATACATGTCGGTGGGGTGAACCGGAGCAGCAGCTTTCTCCCTCAGCTTTCTGCTGGGCTCTTGCAGCTCCTTTTCCAGTGACATTTCTTTCACCGTGCTTTTGCTTTGGGCACGTTTGTCTTGAACTGTAAACGCAGCAGCATGTTCTTCCAGCTTCCCAAGCTGCCATCGCAGCCTTAACTTGTCCCTGTACGCATCATCTTGTTCTTGGGCATCTTCCAATTCTTTAACTTTTTGGAGGAGCTGTGCGTTTTCCTCTCTGAGCTTAATACTTTCAAGTTTGCTTTCTTCTAGCTTGCAGTGAAGACTTCTCAGCTTATGCAGGTTGTCTTCTAGCACTTGATTTTTTTCTACTAACTCAATCATTTCACATTTCAGATCCTCATTTTCTGCCTGAATTTCTTCTTGCAGTGCCAGAAGTTTAGCCTGTGCCATTGATCCGTCCTCTAACTCTTTGACCCTTTTCCAAAGCTGAGCTATTACACTTTTCAGGTCACCATTTGTGGACCCAGGAGCATGGTCAAGCTGGAGAGAGTCTTCACTCAGTTCTTCAGCCTTCTCAAGCTCAACCTGCAGCTCCAAAGCATCAGAAACAAGCCCTTTATTTTTGGGAGTTATGCTATGATTTAGCAGGTGAACTTTCTGCTGTTTAATATCATTGCGTAACATTTTCGGTCTGGGATCTCTCGCAGGAGTTTTCTCAAAATCTCCCCTTTTTTGCAGGGGAGGCACCCAGGAAAGCAGCTCCTCACTCTTGCCACAGTCCTGACTGCCAGCAGCTCCCAGTGCTGCTTCACTTCCTTGCATCCGACCCACGGGCACCGTGAGCATGCGGCCATCTGCTCTGGCTTCAACACGTGCATTCTCCAAATCTGAATCAACCTCACTTATTTTTCCGAGATCTGTAGCATCAGCCTCCACAAGCTGAAGAACATCTGAACCTGTCCCCTTCTCTGCCTCTCTGCAATCGCTGAGCAACCCTTCAAAAATGGGATCTACCTCATCTGGCAGCTGAGGCGGTTCGGAGATGGCATCAGAGCAGCCAGGACTGGGAGGTAGCTCCCGCTCCACAGCACGCAGCCTGTGCTGCAGCCTGGCGATCTCGGCAGCCATCCTGACGTTCTCCTTCACTGCTTGCTCGTGCACTTTCTGCAGGTTTAAGAAGACATCCGCGTCATCTCCCAGGGGTGCTGTGCCAGAGAAAGAGGCAATTTTGCTCTTTGCTTTCGCATACTCATTTTCCAGGACCCTATAATGACTTTGTAGTACGGAAAAGCTCTGGGTTTCCCACTGCAATTTCTGTATTATCTCTTGAAGGTTTGAGATTTCCAGACTCATCTCAGCCTTTTCTGATTCTGCTCTTACACAAATATCTTTGTTTAAGCTCTCCAAAGCAAGGAGTTTGGAATTGAGTTCTTCTTTCTCTTGCTTATATTCACTGTCAAGCCTCTCCAGCTTTTGCCTGACCAGCTTCCCATTTTCCTCCACCATGGATATGCGCTCTTCTTTGTTCTGTAGCTCTTTCCTGTGGTCGTTTTGAAGTTGTGTTATTCTATCGTTCAGCTTTCTCTCTTGTGTCTCAGCAGCATTCCTCAGCTCCCGCAGCTCCCTCTGAAGCTGCTCCCTCTCGCACATCAGCTTGTTCACCTCTTCCTTGAAGCTCTTCTCCAGGAGATCTTTCTCTTGGGTCAGAGCAGAAGAAACTGCCTTTTCATTTGCCAGACTTTCCTTCAGCTGCTCATGAGCTTCAGCAACCTCCTGAGCGATCTCATCCTTTTCAAACTCCCACTGAGATTTCTCCTCTCTCTGCTGTTCAGCGAGTTCATGCAACTCTCGCTGGTAACGGCCTTCCAGATTTCGGATCGTTTCTTCGTATTTATTCACAAGTGTTTGTGTGTCGACAGAAAACTGCGTTTCTGCATGAGATGCTCTTCTCTTATAGTCACTTTCCATTTTTCTCCTAAACATGGTTAACATAATATATTACTAAACTCTAGGCTAACTCAGAGATTCAAATGGCTTTTTAGGCTGAATAAAACAAGTTGACAAACTACCTTTTCACTGAGTTTTAGATGAAGTAATATTTGATGGGTGTTTCTGAGAGCCCAGGTTAAATTTGAGGCAATTTGTTGAAACTTCAAAGAGAAAAATCTATTTGCCTTGGAAAAGAGTAACTCATGAAACATCCTCAGAAAAGGCCTCATGTACAATATATGCCCTCTTATGTTTGTGATCAGGTTTGTGGGTGCAGATGTTCTTACCCCCATCTCTCCCTTGGTACCCTAAGATGGTTTCAGTTTCTTTTGACACTTGATCTTGGCTAAAAGCATTTACCAGCGATCCCTTTACTTCTTCAGAACTCTGAAAACCCAAATGCTTTACAAGTACAAAGCTGGGATTTGTAAACCACAGAGATCCTGAACAGAGCCCAGGTTAATCGCATCTGGTTATGCTTTAACACCACTGTTGCCTCTGGGCGAGCTACAAATCGATATAAAAATCTGCTTGAGGAAGGTCAGAAGAAGAACAAGCTCTGGACAGCAGCCCAGTGCTCTGGAATAAAACAGGTAACAGCACTGAGTACACAAATTAAGCATCAGGAGTAATTTCTGCACTACCTTCCCCTTGGTCACCATGCCAAGCCATCGAGGTCACCATATACCACTCCTGTCCCCACCAGCGGTGCCAACTTACCTTTCCTCCTCCAGGTCCTGCTCGTGCTTCCTCAGCAGCTCTTGGTGCAGCTCCTCCTTCTCCAGGGCATGGACCTCCGCTATCTGCTTCAGCTGCTCGTGAAAGCCTCGCTCCAGCTCTCCCTTCTCCTTCTGCAGCCTCTGCACTAAAACCCTCATCTTTTCTTCCAGCCAGACACCGTTTTGAATCAGTTCTTCCCGTTCTTGGCTGAACTTCTCATTTACCTGCTCCAGTCTGGCTCGAACATCTTCTTCGTGCTCCTGCCTCAGTAGTTCTTGCAGGTTGGCTTTTTCCTCATCGAAGCGCAATTGTAATTGGTTTTTCTCCTCATTATATTTACAATCCAGCTTTTCTTGCTGTTCTCTGAGCACTGCTGTCTCGCCTTGCAGGTCTGCAATTTGAGTTTTAAGGCCAGTTATTTGCTTTTCCATGGCATGCATCTCTTCGGTGTACTTCTTCCTCAGATCCTCTTGCTCCTTTTCACAGTGGACTTTCGTCTCATCTAGCTGCTTTTCGTAGTGGCTCACCTACAAGAAGGAAAGCAGATTGGATTGGTTTGGTTTCTAAAGGATGTTCTACAGAGATGTTTTCCTCAGCATTTCTGTATTGTATATTTCCATATATTCTACAGAATATTTGGATTTAAGTATTAGCATCTTGCATTGATTTCCCCTGCAAAGAATGCTAAAGTGCTCAGTTTAATTTTGCACTGAGATTTCCTACTGTGATTCATTCAGCCATCTCCAGCGCCTCTCCAACACACAGCAACGTGCAAAAGGAACAGGGAAGGTAGAGGGTTAGATTCGCAGAAAGGTTATAATTTTACCAGGAATAAAAATCATTTTCTGAGACCATTCTACTTGCATGAAGAGGCTGGAAAAGGTGAGAAGGTTTGAAGTTCAAATAGCTTACTGTGTCTTCAAGTTCCTGTTTGAGCTGATGTAGATCCCTGTGATGCTGCTCCTTCATTTGTTCAATAGCCATTTCTGCCTCTATGCTCATATTTAATGGGTTGCAGTCTTCCGAACCAAGTCCTTTCAAAATAAAATACATATCTACATATTTTGAAGCCCAAAGAGATACATTCTGAACAGAGTTATTTCATCAGTGTAAATTTGTTTAGGCAGCTACTTGCAGCTCCCAAATTCCCATCACACAAAGAGACAAGAAACTGCAAGCATGAATTTGTAAAACGTAGTACAGCAGCTGTATTCTATTTAGTGATAAATAGCAAAACAGAAGCCGTGTTTGAGTCTCACTGTGAAGGTTTGGGAAAGTTTTTATGAAATCATGTCTAAGACATTATCATAAGTGCCTACAGCACAGAAACTGGTCATACAGGGAACATGCTTTACCTTGGTCAGGCTCGATGCCATTATTGCCATGGCTTTTCATGTCGATGTCGAACTCTTCTGACAGCGAATTTTTCAGCGAGGGCCTGAGCACTTTATCCTGGGCACGGTACTCCTCCAGCTCCGAGTGCAGCTCATCTATTTGGTCCTGCAGCTCCTAAGAGAGGCGAAAAGAGAAGCCTGAAGGAGAGCAACCAAGGCAGCCGAGCATCTCTGCATCAACAAACTCCCACCGGGAGCCATTTAGGAGGGAATTGTGGTAGGTAAAGACTTGTCAATAATCCTGCCATCGTGCCACAGTCATCCTCCTATCAGAAAAACATCCTTCAGGTTCCAACCTATGCAAGTAGATGTGTTTCTTTTAATAAGAAACACCGACGCCCATATATATTCTGCCTCTGAAGTATATCATGCTCCAGGACCTTTCCCTTTATTCGTCCTTCCTATGACCTTTGTTAAACAGCAGCTTAGGAACAAACAGTCGAGAAATCTCTCCTCAAACACCATCTACTTGAAAAAAATCAAACTGGAAGGAAAAAGATCGAATTAGGAAAGAGATCCCTTCATTACTGCAGTTACCATCTGGTACTTCTGCCCATGTGCCAGTGGAATATCCCCAGCGTTGGTGCCAAATGCCACGCACCCAGCTCCAGGAACAGCGTTTATTGAGGAAAATGAATCCCCAAATGTGTAAACACACAATTCTGCAGATTCAGAAGGTTCAAAATGTGAACCTTGAATACTGGTCCATATTTGATGTTCTTTTTTAGGAAAAAAAAAGAAAACTGCATATTCAAGCACCACCTTATCAAGAAGTATCAATTCAACAAATATTTCTAGACAATCTTTGCTTTTAAACTGCAACTTCCTAAGAGACCTACTGTGCTGTTTCAGATTAGACAGCTTTTTGCCAAGGTAGCCCTTTACTGAATGAAAAAGATCGTGCAGAATGCTGAGAACCACTGCAGTCATCATAAAGTAGATAAGCAAATAGAAAACTTGCAGACCAACCTTAAAGCAGTGCTTCAGCCATACAAGATTTTGGGAGGAAAAGAAGCTTTACATTTCCAGTTTTATTTTAAGAAAATACTACTGTATTCTATTACATATATAATTACTACTGTATTACACGTATTATATTTGAATTTATTTTATAAATTAAAAAAACCCTGCTGGTGCACACTGTGCAAGGAGCTGAGCTTGATGTGCAGCTGGGGAGCTAAGGAGGCCCCACAGACCTTACCCCAGCCCACCCTTGGGACACCTCATCTTCTTCACTCGGCCAGTTGCCTCTGAGGCAAGAGCTTTCCATTTCCCAAGAATTAATTGAATTAATGTAAAAAAGCCATTGCATAGGAAAATCCAGCAGTGCTGTGTGCTGCCGTTTGCAGCAAGGATGTTCCTGGTGGGTGTGGGCGATGGGTGCTGGGTCTCCAGCCCTGGGCTCCACTCACCCTGCACTGCCGCTCGTATTCGCTTCTCATCTGCGCCAGCCTCTCCTCCTGCAGGAAAAACTCCGCGCTGCTGGGGTCCAGGTCACCAAACTAAAACGGCATGGATGGAATCCAGTTATTCTTCTAAACAGCCCTGCATGCATCTTCACCACAAGCACCCTGCATCCTCACCCTGCATCCTCTCCCTTCTGTTTTTTTGGGTTTTTTTTTTTTAAATTTTAAATACAAAAGCTTGGCTTCCCTTCTGGTAGGGCACAAGCTGCTGTCTCGCCATAGCTCTCATGCTAGCTTTGATTTCAGACCACAGCTTAGCACATGTGCATCTCTGTTGGATAAATAATCCCAACTTAAAAAAGAAGTCTGGAAAACAGATGTTGGGTGTGAATCCCAGTACAGGAGCCTTTGTCTATGGCTACACATGCACCGAAACGCCTTTGAAAAAGCTGATATTCTGATGAGGTTATTGTAAGACAACCATGATCAGTTGTTCAGCTCCGTTTCCACCTAATTTTAGCAGAGATGCCAGCTAATGCCTAACACCTCGTGTATCATCTTTCCTATAAAGGACCTGCATGCTGGGTCTATCCAAAATGGGGAGCTGGGGGAAAAAAAAAAGCAAAATTATCACTTCAGTGTAAGGCTCCCTACTGTGAAATAGCATAAAACTACAGCTAAGGGAAAATATCTTCCATTTCCTTAACTTGAAGTCAGTCAGGCAGCCCATGTCAACAAGGGTCACATCTGGATAGGGACCCCAAGAGCCTACACTAATTAAATTGGCAGCTTGAGCATGGTAACTGAAAAGCGATTTAAGTCTGGAAGCATGGTGGGAAGAGGAGGATTTACCTTCTCAGCCAGGACGTTTTCCAAGTTCCTCTGCAGTTTGCTTGCCAAACTTTCATACTCCACCAGTTTTTCCCCCGTTTCCAAGAGCTCACTTTCCAGACGGCTGTTTTCCTGGAACAAACAAACCCCCCCGACAGGCTCAGCATTTGGAGAAGGAAATCATTAGCACATGGTAACGCATTAGGAAAACCTCCCAGTCACATCACTGCTACAAGCTTCAGCCAAAGATAGGAATTGTGAATTTGTCAGCCACGCATGTACAACCATGGCAAAAGGGCAACTTTTGAAGTTGTCTGTAAGACAACACCATTGCCATTTAAAAAAAATAATGAATTAAATTATATGGTTATGTAGCTGTCAGATTCAGAAAAAAAGTCATGACTTAAGTGTTTTCTAGAGAAAATCTAGGAAAAGGATGTGAATCTGTGGGGTCATGGGTGAGTGCCACCCTTGCATTAGGCAGCAGATAAATTATCAAAAGGCGTAACAGAAAGCTTGGGATTATTTTAGTTTTCTAAAGCGATATATAAACTTTGTCAAGACATTATCTCCTGGCTAGACAGCCAAAGAGCCAGCAAGGCAGACAGCCCATCCAACAGCCGTACACACGCACACTTGATGGCAGCAGAGATTTGAACTGAAGCCATACAAATCCAAGCAATAACCGATCACGGTGACCCAAAAACCAATTCTCATGGATACACCTCTATTTCGATGCTGAAATGACTTTCAGCTCAACACACACTGTAACACTTCCTCTCAACAAGGACTACGTTGCAAGCATCACCTCCCACTTCAGGGCATCCCTGCCTTCTGCAGGGAAAACGCCAGCTGCATTCAGTCCCCATTACCTTCAGGGAAAGGGTGAGGCGGTCCCGCATGTAGTTCTCATCTGTCTTCAGCTTTTCTATCTCCTGCTCCAGCTCCAGCCGCTGTTTATTTGCCTGCTGCAGGATTTGCTCCCGCTCTCTCCGGAGCTCGTTCTTTAAAGCTGCGATTCGCTCCTTGTACTCCTCATCCAGCTTCCTACGAAGGCATCGAAGATAAGAGGAGCTCATAAGCAGCAGCAGGTGGCAGGCATTGCTGGAATCACCCAGCACAAAGCCACTACCTCTGTGACAGAGCCCCTGCAATGCCACAGCAGTGATCCCAAAAAGGAGAGGAGGGAAGAACCAGGACACTGTACCTGAGGTTGTACTCGTTTCGGCGCTCAATTGCAGCATGGTGGTCATCTACTTCGGAGGCCATCAGGGATTTCAGCTTTTCGGCTTTTTCCAAGTCCGACCGCAGCTTCTCCTTCTCTCTTGCCACTTGGTCAACCCTCTCCCTAGGGTAAGCACAGCCAGCCTGGATCAGACCCCCCACTCCTGGTTCCCCCAAAGAAGGTACTTGCAAATAGTAACTTGATTGACATCTCAGAAAGCTCTCCATGGGTTTTTAGCATCAACTGCATTTAGTCACTCGATAGGAACTTGCACACATAGCTCTGGACCTGTGTGGATAACCCCAGTATCAGACCTCAACACGTGAGCTCCTCAGCTGTGTCCTAGCCCCCTGAACTGCAGGGCTATGCTATTTTGCAAGCCACTTTCTGCCCCATTTACTTGTTCTCATCATTTTATTACCTTTACTTCACCCTTACACTACATCCAACCTGGTTTTGATCCCAAGTCGGTAAGATCTGCTACACTGAGCTGCTTTCTGGATGGGAACTTGACAACAAATCTCTCCACCAAGTGAACATAAAAAGGTATTTAGACATGGATAAAAACACATGCAGTCTTAATGACCAGCAAAAGTCATCTATCGTGTTGCATGGAGGTGAATGCATAAGCTGATAAATATCTGAACTGTTAAAAGATTTACAAACACAAACAGAACACCACTAACAACTGGAACTCATGCACGTGGCAGATGGGTGCAGCAGTTACACACCAAGGCAAAACTGAGGGTGCAATGCTTGGAGCAGGGATCTCCAAAGTGGGGTGGACAAGATGACTCATTGGTGTGTGGAGAGAAATATCTGAGCTTCAGGAGTACATGTAGATAATTTATGAATTAATAAATATATGTACAGGGAAATGTTTCCCATCTCCTACACCCTCGCTGGGGAATCCTGCACAGCAAGTCCAGTGCAAAGTCACTGTGTTGACTTTCAAATAAAAAAAGTGGGGATACCTGGCGTTTCTGTACCTCACCCACACCTCTAGCACATGGCAAAACCTACATAGCACTACTGCAAGAAATCAGTTCAGATTAAAGGTACTGCTTAACAAATTGCGCCAGCCTGTGTCTTAAGTTTTCCATTCCTTGGCCATCAATGATTATTGCAGATTGCAATGACCATTTCCAGACCGCAGGGGAGAGCTGGAAACAGCCTGCTGCTCTGGTTTATTTTTTAATATATTATTCTGCAATACTTAGGTTTGAGTGTTTTACCCATGCAAAACGGGAGAGTTGAAAGCTTCTGACCAAGCTAACAGAGAAGCTAATGGCAGTGCCCCTTGGAGAGGTGCTACAAACTGCTACGTAAGCTCCTGCTTGGCAAAATAGAGGGTGATGAGGATGGGGTAGAACCAGTGATCCCATGACTTACAGCAAGTGTCTGATCTCCGTTTTGAAGCTTGCCAGGGCTGCTTGGACGACTCCATTTTTGGTTATTAAAAGCTCGTTTTCTAGCGCCAGCGTCAGCTCTGTCAGGTTCACCTTCCCATCCAAGCTGAAATCCAGAGCCTGCAAAACAACTCAGCGTTGGAGCAGAACGAGCTTTGCTGCCCTGCAGAAGCCTGGAGACATTTGTGCGTGAAGCGACAGGATAAAGTGAGGAGGCTCAGAAAAGATCCGTGCTTGCTGATTAATCTGTCACGAATGCCCGGGGGGCAATAAACCAGACATCGCTGCCACTTTCCTATGCTAGAGAGCTGCTGCCAGCTGCGGAGATGGAAAGTGTCCTACTTGTACTGCAAGACCTACAGGAAATTAAGCCCATGCCTGATTAAAAGTATTAATTCTCTAGAGGATCTAACTACACTGGCCTTTTTACGTATTCAAACGCTGCAAGAAAGCAGTTGAAGATGTTCATGTTAAACAAAACCAGCTCTTGCAATAGAGAAGATGCAGAAGCAGCCTCGTAGGAGATATTTGACAGCAAAGATCCCACCTCTTAGAAAATAAATTATCAGCAACTGCTTAGCATTTCCTTCAACCTAACTCTGCAGGAGCACAAAGCAGTGAGGTTGAACTCTGCAAACACTGGAGAAACCACCCTGGTGACAGAGGTAAAGTGGGAAGCAGGAAACAGAAGAGAAGGTAAAGGTGCACCAGGCAAGCCTGGTGACAGCAGGACCAGGTTATCGAGCTGGCCTGCACGCACCCAGGCTATAAACGAGTTTTAAAGCCTGAGCAATGGCAGAGTTTATTACAACCTGGATGTTCAATATCCATATGGACATTAAATGCCAAGAGAAATCTGCCAGCATTGCTGCCAGGAATCCCATGGTGGTCTCAATACACACAGAAAATTATCTTCTCTTATCCACAGCTTCTAGCAAGATGGACAGGAATAGGGTTCACTTCAGGTATCTGATCTGCAACCTCATTACCTTTTTATTCTGTCTAATAAAGCACTAATTACCAGGCAGGGTTTCAAGTACTGTCCTCCACCTCAGCACAAGCAATAATTCAGGTCAGCCCCATGCTAAAAGGTTTGCAGATGCAGCTATTCAGTGAGGGAAAGGAATTAAATTGCTCTCTACAAATATAGGTGACCTCTTTGAGCTAAGCTGGCAGTCACGTTACATTTATATCAGTAACTTCTAGCTCTCTGGGATGCACCATCATTTCAATGAAGGAAATTATTGGAAATTTCTAAGAAGAGTTCAACTCCTGTAGGTAGCACCGGGAATTTTAAAGGGAGAAAAACCCAATAATCCAGCGACAGCCCAGCATCTCATACTGGGGATTAAAAAAAAAATAATGCAAAAACGGGTGAGATAGAGCCACTGGTTACCTTGAGGATGTCCTGGCTGTTCTCTATGCCCTCCTGGTGCCAGCAGTCGAGGATGCCCTCCACGCAACCATAGCCCATGCCATCATCCAGGCTGGAGAAGAGGCAGAAGCCGACGGTGCTGGGCATGGCCGAGGGAGTGGTCGTGCGCCTCCCGCTCTCGTCGAAAGACTGTGGAGAGGGGAGAGGCTGCGACAGGGCATGGGCAGAACCGGGCGTCTGGCCACCCCGCCACCAGAAAGGCTTAGAAATGTGATTTCGCTAACAGTGCTCTGGAGATTAAGGATTAAGCTCTGGCTTTTCCTCGCTGCCAAGGCAGGAGCACCACTGCTGACCTCGTGGCACCACGGCACAACCAGGCCCTTTGGATTTAAAATAAATCCGAGGGGGGACAGTTTCAGAGCTGTCCTCAATGCTTCAAAAGCATTTTCTACTGCCTGTTTTTTATTTCAAGCATCACCTCCCCTTAAAAGGCTGCAGGGAGCATACGCACAGGTGCTTTTGCTATAGCCCTCACCTTCCAGGCAAAGATAGGAAGTAGTAGTAGTTAATAAGTAGTAGTAATTTCAAACTATCTCAGAAAGAAAATAATTAAAGAAGAGATGTGGGACCTGCATGCCCAGAGTCTCCAGATAACCCCAGGCCACCAGTTTATCCCATTTACTGACTGGACCCCACAGCTTACAAGATCCAGCCGAGCTCCTCACCTGCATGGAGAGGTGTCTTTTCAGCTGTCGGTACGGGGTGGACGCTGAGGGCGTCAGCGACTTCCCGTTTTTCAACAAGCTGTAGAAGAAGTCCTCTATGCTCATGGTGCCATCTTGCTCCAGGTTATGGAGCACCTCTTCCAGCACCTGCAAGTAACAAAGGTTATGAATCACATCTGTTATTGCCAAAAACACCATGGTAATAATTTGGCACGGCAGAAAGTGTCCTGTTCCCTAAGGCTCTACAAAAAAACCCCCTCCAAACCCTGAACCAACCACCATAGAAAGACACTGCAAGGTTATAATAGATCTGTTTTATGCTTCAGGGCAGTCTGCTTTCCGAAAAGCAAGACCAACCTTATTAGGATCAGAGATGTAAAGATCAGTCCCTTCCTATTTCTTTGTCTACAGTTTGTTTTTTTTCCATTTTCTGCCTTAATATCCTGAAAACATTTTATTGCAAATGCTGCAAAGGAATACCTGCTCAGAAATGTGCGCTATGAAGGAAATGATTACAAGCCATGTTATTCTAAGATGCAAAACAGTCTGATGTTTTTATAAAAGTGAATCCTAAATTGACAAGAGATTTTTTTTCTAGAGAAATCATTTTCCCATGGACTCCTCCTGCAGGACAGAAGCAGCCTGCAGGCCTTCACAAAGTCAAAAGCAATCACCTATGAATATTTTAACCCATATTTACTGTCTAGCTAGAAGATCTCTGGGATAAAGGAAACACGCTTGGAATTCAGGATATGTTTTTAAATTCCAGTTTACTCTGACTGCATGAGAAGACGCACGCTACGGTGTTGTTAAGTCCATAAGTGAGTGCTCACCTCCCCAGCCGCTGTCTGGAGCCCATACTGCTCGCAAATGGAGATGAGCTTTTTGCGGTTCAAGTGGCCATCCCTGGTGATGCCAAGGTGGTTGCAGACCTCCTGCAGCTTCTCCTCTATCCAGTCCAGGGTGGGCAGCGCTGCTGCGGGGGAGGCGTTCAGGTCATCTGGGTTCCAGAAGCGCAGCTGCCCTGGAAATGGGGGGAAATGCTCCAGTTTCTGCCCATCCACTGCACACGTTTGGCCACCAGAAGACCTGAGGGTTTTCCAAGCCACAAGGGACTTGCTGTGGGCAGAGCCTCCCCTCCTTGCTCATCAGACCCCACAGCACTATTTGCCTTACCTCATCCTGCTCACAGGATGTAGTTTTGGGGTATGGCTACCGGAAAATATAATAGACTCCAGCGGAACACATTTCCTCTACCTCCAGCAAACACATGGAGCTTGGTCTCACCCAACTGGAAATGCTCACGGAGCTACCAGACACAAACCAGTCAGGGCTTGCTCAGCTGCTCTGCATCCACCACCTCACCCTGGAGCTGGAAAAGCAGCTTTTGGAGCAAAACTGTGGTCTCATTGGACAGGCTAGTGGATAGAGAGCAGCTGAAATATGGGAGAGAGCAGAGTGGGACTCCCAGTGCACCCAGCTGGTCTGAAATCATCTTAAAGCACTCCTCTGCTTCATCTTCAAAGCTGAAAAGAGAATAAGCACATGCAAGCGCTGCGGTTTGCTCTTACCCTCGGCCTCGTACTCCTCGCTGTCTTGCGTCTTCCAGTGCTGGGGAAAAAACAAAAGGTTCCCAAGTTATTACTATTGCAAGACAATCACCCCTATGAAAGAGACTCCGTGATCAGCATCAGACAAGCTACAGGACTCCAGCAAAGCTGCCAGGCTTTCATCTCTCCACTCCCCACGGGCTGGGCTGGCAATCCATGGCTCTTTGATGCTGCCCCTTTCTGGCATGCAAGGTGCTTCAGTGGGGATAAACCACAGCTGCAGCAAAAGACACCTAAAGCAAGTGACCCAGGAGAGGTGGGATATAGGATGAGAGGAAATGGCCTCAAGCTGCTCCAGGGGAGGGTTAGATTGGATATGAGGGAAAATTTCTTCACTGAAAGAGTGGTCAAGCACTGGAAGGGGCTGCCCAGGGCAGTGGTGGAGTCAGGAACCATCCCTGGAGGGGTTCAGAAATGTGTGGATGTGGCACTTGGGGACATGGTTCAGTGGCCATGGTGGGATTAGGTTGACAGTTGGAGTTGATGAACAGTCAGTCTTTTCCAACCTTAATGACTCTGTGATTCTAGTCACAGGGTCCAGCAGGTTGATGGGGAGGGAGGGAGGGAGAGACTTGCCCTCCAAGCAAACCACACTGAGACGTTTTGATGGTCGAGATGATGAGGAGGCAGGGAAGATCACGAGCTGCACAGAGGGACCATCTGAGTTTGGGTTATCCTTTCCTTCTGGCACCCTATTTTCCCATTGCATTTCCCTACCTGCAGCCCATGGGTCTTGTACGCAGCCAGCCCACAAGCTGGGACATGAGCACAGAACACTTTTGAGTCTCAAGCATCCCCAGAAACCTTCATGGCCCAACACCACTCCACGTCCCTGCTCTCCTCTGTGGGCAATCACGTCACCCACGCCAGCCGCAGAGCCCAGACACCGGGGAACACACATCCACCACAGGTAATTAAGCTGCAACGAACCCACAGGTCTGATGGGGACATCTGCTTCCAGAGCACGTGCAGTCTGGGAAATGAAGGTTTTGCTGCTTTGTGCTTTCCCTTTTGACAAAGGGCACCCGTCTGCCTGCAGAGCCCCACTTGGCCAATTGGCCAGGCCCTCTCCAAAACATCTCTGCCAGCCATAGCTCTGGGTCAGGAGACAGAGCCGTGCTGCCAACAAGCTCTCTGCTGAGCTAGATTGAAAAATACAACATATTCTTTGATAGTTTTAAGCCATCCCGCTTCCTCTGTGGCAATACTACATCAACACCGGTTGTTTCAAGTGATTTCCCCATGTACTCCACATTGTCTCATCTCTGCCACTCTTGTACCAGCCCAGGGTATTTACTCACACGTGATGCTCAGCAATATTAATTTCTGGTCTAGCAACAGCCTCGGCAGATGTTACTTCTCCATCATTACAAGTGGCTACTTCTGCACACACGTGACTGATGGATTTGAAGTCAAAGTCACCCAGGACATAAAGAGGCTCTAAATCATCACATAAAACTTCAATGCATCTCATTCAGATTACAGCTAAAAGCCATTAATCTACAATGTTACCATGGAAACCGGATTAGATCACCGGACTTTTTTTAGCTCTGCTGCTCACTCCTGTTTCAGCTGCTGGACCAGGCAAGGGTATGGCATCTCGCTGGACCCCTCTGCTTTTGGGCTGACTCACAGGGCAGGGATAGGGGAAAGCCTTGGATGGAGACGGTGGGGGGCTTAACCTTTGCTTTCCCAGCCAGGCTTCAGGTAGAAATGTGCCTGAGGGAGGCAGGGCTGGAACCTGCAGCTCTGTTCTGGGAAAAGTCAAAAAAATATATAATATTGCACTAGAAAGCTGCAGCTTTTAGCCCAAAGTGCTCTTCTAGTGCTACCATCAAGGCATTAATATGGCAGATTTGCCTCATAAACCATCAGGACATGCACACAAAAAGCGGGAGCTGAGCAACAGGTACCCTCAAGTTACAGCCCACGTTCCCAAAAATGCATGAGCTGACACCATCCCAGCCTGTAAGTGCCTGTACATATGCAACAGCCAGCTCAGTGTTGGGAAGAGGCATTTTTGGGTGCCAGACAGAGCTACTACCCTGCAGTTGCTCATTCTTGTCCTTGCATGGGAGCAGTGATGCTCAGAAGGGGGGTCTGCTGCTGTGCCCAACACTTTTTGCATAAGTAACATATATTTTTATACAGAATGAGATCTGAACTGTTTAGCACCAAACTTCACTTCAAGGACCTGCCTCCAAACCAAGAACCCCAAACACACACAATAACTCCATAAACCCCAATGCCCTAGAGAGGCTGAATATAGCGGTGGTGGGGGGGGGCTGATGACACTGCCCCCGACCCCGGGGAGCTCGTGTGACCCCTCTCCCCATGCCGATGCCCCGCTGCGGAGGGTGAGGGGGTCCCTTTGTGCGGCAGGGGCTTGGGGTCAGCCACCGCGGGCGGGAGGACAAAGCAGAGACCAGCGCATCCCGACGTCAGGCCCGGCATTGTTTCCCCGGTGGGGCTACAGCTGGACGGGGGTCACACACGTCGGGGAGCGGAGATCCCAGGAATGCGTTATTATTTGGGCAGGCGTGTGCTTGGCCGGGCGGAGGAGCAGATGGCCCCGGCTTTCAATGCTCGGGGCGCGGGCGAGCATCTGCAGCCCTGTGCCGTTTGCTCGCTGTGGCCTCTCCCCATAATAAGACAGCAACCTCTCTTCCTCCCCCCTCCTCCGCCATCTGCTTCAGCGAGACAGACCTTTGTTCTCCGCCAGAATATATTGCTAATTAAAATGACGATCAGGAGCGCACGCTGAGCCTGTTCTGCTTCACGCACAGCAAGGTGAGACTTCGCACTGATGCTAACGGCTCCATTTCTTCCCTCCCTGCATGTTTGCCCACAGAGCAGCTCTCCAATCTGAGCAGCCAGAGCAGAAAGCCCTGAAAGATGCCAAATCACCACAACCCGCTTTGCCAGCTGCCTTCAGCTACAAAGCACCAGCATCACATCAAAAAATGCACTTTTTGGCAGGGAGCAAGTGCTACCCTGAGCTGTTTTATCTGCAAATCCTGGCTTTACAGGACAGCTGCGCTTCAGAAGCCTCACGTTTGTACACCGAGGACTTGAGGACAAATAGTTTCAGCTTGAACCTCCCAAAAGGTCTGGCTTTGAGAGGCTGTGCTGGAAACCACTCTCTGCAGAGGCAAACATGTGGATTTTTGGGGAGTGGCCTCGGCGGGCTCAGAAGGGACAGAGCTGGGACACGACAGCAGCTTTTACAACCTGCAAGTACAGAACCACAGACTGATTTGGGTTGGAAGGGACCTAAAAGGTCATCTGGTCCAACTCCACAGCCAAAGGGTGCTGCTGCACGGGGTGTGGTACCCCACAGTCACCAAACGTGCTCCCCATCCCAACCCTGCACCACCGCCATTGCACAGATCACCACCAGGTGCTAAACAAGGCAAAAAGGAAACAAAAACAAGATCACAGCCCTTCCCAAGCACACTGGGCCAGCTCTCAGTCTCCATGGGCTTCAACACCCAACAAGACCCATCAAGAGTTTAGGACAAACAAGCTCAAGTGACAGCCAGGGACGCACAGCTTGGACCACCGCAAGCTTTCACACTGCATTTCCAGATGCATTCACGGCTACATTAACACCACATCCATAAAGGTCCCAGTGCCACTCATTTCTCAGCACCCATTGGCCCAGTAGTATCTTTGGGGACAAATTCATGCAGGTCAGAGGGAACCTCGGGATCCCGGCACCATCCACGGCGAGGTCAGCACTGACTTCAGACCCAGCTGCTCATGATGTGACCAGTGGCACCTGGAAAGTTACTGGTGATGGAGGTCACGGAGCAGCCAATGCCATGCACAGACCAGTCCTCCAGCCTTGCCTCCCGTGTTTATGGAGATGAGAGGGGGAAGGAAGCCTCTCAGACAGAGCCTGAGCCCTTTTAATTGGCACCGCTTGAAAGCAAGCGCCAATTAAGCCACACTGCCCCAGTTCTCAGGCCAGCAGAACACCCTGGGCTGGAGGAGGGCCTGCGGAGCGCAGGCAGCAGCGTGTTTATACGCACAGGAGAGACCTGGGCAAAGGCTGTGCCAAGCCCCAAAAAAAGAAAAATCAATGGGTCAGGAGTCTCCAACACCACTCAGCATTTCAGCCCCAGGACACCCAATGCCTTCAAGTAACCAATTTCTACACGTACCAGGAGGATCTTCTTTTAGATACAAGGTAGTAATCCTCATAAAGATGAAAAACGAGGATTTTACAAATTTAGCCTGATTTTTGCTCAAGTTGCAAGAGAATTAACCATCCCAAAAGGTGCAACAAGAAGTCTCACTACGAGATTGATGCAGCCAACAGGGAGCACACCATGGTTACATATCAGTTTAGTTAATTAACTGACCTTGTTAATAGACTAGGATTTTACACCTCCTTAACAGCTAAAACAGAGGATTGAGATTAGAGTGGCCTCTTCCATCAAGGGCATCGCTTCCCTGAGGGTTGTGGGCAGATGAACATGGATTTCAAGGTCAGGGCAGCCCATGTGGCCAGCACCAGGAGACAGATGAGCATCTCCGTGGTGGTGAGCAAAGGTTACAGAGCTGGCTCTGGCAGAAAAGTAAATACCAAAATGATGATATTTGGCGACCTGGGACAGGCTGGAATGAGCTCAGCTGCAGGAAAACACTGCTGTGGCCAGATGCTAATGCCACCAAACCCACTCTTCACCTTTTGCTTTTCTGTTCTGAAAAGGCGAGAGGACATGCTGGGGTTGAAAGCACTAGCGCAAAGAGAGACACTAATTATGATCATTAAACCAGGGAAAATAAAAAAGTATCTGGATTTTTGACCAAGCAAATGTACAGTCGTACATGGGGCATGGGGGCTGCCGAGAGCTTAGTGCAGAAGCAGGCAAGGTTTTTGCTGAGACAATAAAAAAGACCAGAAAGAGAAGCCAGTACCTCTGGATTTAGGCACTCACCACCCACCTTCCCCATCCCCGCTATCACAAGGTACCGGAGCCACAGCCAGGTTTTTGCAGAGGAGCTACCAGATGAGGACATGCTCCTTCTGCTCGCTCAGCTCCCAGCCCACACTTCATTAGCCACAGCCCTCACTTAATTGCTGGCCTGCGCCACGGCCAGAAGCACATCACCACATGAGCCCGGCTCCTCCTCTGCTTCCCACGGCAGCCTGCAGACAGGAATTTGAGGCTGGAGCAAAGGAGGTGCTGCCTGATCGCTGGGGACAGGCGAGGAGGGTGACCATTGCCTTGGGAAGACCCCAAGGCCAACCAAACCACCCAAGGGTGGTGGGGAGCAGCAACATTTGGGGGTACGGCCCACCCCAGCACTTGGCCCGTTCCTGCTCACCTCCGTGCTGGGGGCGATGTGCGGGGGATGCACCTCCTCACTCAGCGGCTCGATGACGGTCACCTCGGCAAAGTCCTCCACTGACTGCTGGAACTCGGGCAGGGACCGCCGGCCATAGCGTTTGCCACCTTTGATGTACTTGGGCTGGGCTTCTGGGGAAGAATCTGTGAAATTCAAGCACAAAGCGCATCGGTAACATGGTTTTCACAGATCCAGTCTGGCACCCTAGCGCAAAGAACTGGTTTTGAGCACCAAATTGCCACCACCATTCACCCCCAGGCAGGCGCCAGCAGCTTGCTCCTTTCCAGGAGCACTACCCATCACCATGGTATCAGGCCTGATGGGTTGGAACTGGTCCTGCTCCCAAAACACCCAAACCAACGCTGTCGCAAAGTGGAATTTGGGCTCCATCTTCCTCACCCATCCCCAAATCTCAGATCAAGTTTGCTTCATTAACAGGATGGGGGCAAAAAAACCCCCAGCCTTGCAGACAGTCATGGATGGGAAGGCAATTAGGTGTCTCCTCCTTGCGCTAATCTTCATTACTAGCAATGGGCAGGTTTAATTAGGGACAGCATTGCACTTAGGCAGCTCAAGTCTCCAGATTATGCAGGCACCTGAGTGACCACCACTGCTTTCAGTAGATTTAAACCACAGCTCAATTAAAAGCATGAAAACAACCAGGTGAGCGGGGGAAAAAAATTGGGCAAGTTTGGAGGCGAACACGTCCTGAGGGCTGACACGAGCAGCTGATCCGGGTGATGGCGGGGCAGGCCCCAGCTTGTGCTGTGCAACTAATGCCAACTGCAAGGTCTAAATAACCCTTCGCAGTCGTCACTAATTACAGGGGACTTCGTGGCTCCGCTCGCATTCCCCAGCTCCAGCTCCCCACCACAACCTCTGCCTTCGGGGAATGAATTATCCAGGAGCACTCACAGACAGGGATCAAAACGAAAAATAAATAAGCACGGTTTGGGCTATTTTCAGTGAGAATCAGCCAAGGTCTGGAGCAGGGGGCAAATTAAACAGAGGCCCAAATTAACCAGGGATTCAATTAGGGGAAGGCTTTCTGCCACACTTTGTTTCAGTGTTTGCTAACCTCACCGTCGAAACCCCCCCAGGACTCCATCGTCTTTATTTTCCGCCACTTGCAGCACACTGAGGCAGCAGCAACAGCAGCAGCTTTTTAAAATTTTATTTGCAGAGCGCTCTGGTACAAAATAAATGCAAGGGTGCAATACTAATAAGGAGCAGGAAAGCTGTTCAATCATTGACTAAAGGTACGCAGCAAGCAGTGGGTCTCTAAACCCCCCTGCCCAAACGCCTCCTCGGATAATATTCCCTTAGATATGGAAGAAGGCTTCAAGCTTGTTAGAGGAAAAAATATTCTGCAACTTAGCTATGCAATGAATTATAAAATACACAGGACGAGGAGCCCTTTGATTCCTCCAGCCTTGCGCTCCATCCATCCATATTGCAGCTCTAGGGAACAAACCCGGCGCCTGTGTTTGAACAAGGCCATTTTAACAAGATTTGCTGCAGCTGGGACTCGCACATGAAAGTTGGGTGATGAAGTGCACCGATAGAAAAATCGCAATGAGACAGGCTGATTAAGTGAGAGCCCGAGAACAAAAGCAAACCTTATCGCTCCTATTAAAGCCTACCCGGTGGTGAACAATCTCCATCCAGCAGCTCTCTCTGAAATGCTAATATTTGTGGCTACTCATTCACCCATTTATTTTCTCCCTGCCATCTCCCCCGCCCTTGCAGAATAGAGCTGGGGGCTTTTGGTTGGTTTTTTTTTTTTGTTTTGTTTGGTTTGGGTTTTTTTATAAATAATTTTTCCTCCTCCAAGATAGAAACACACCTCCGCGCCTATCTGCCTTTGGAAAGATGTGGGGGGAAAGAAGCTGTAATTTAGCAATAATGAAGCTATGGCTTAATTTCCTTCTGGATTTCCCAATGCTCAGAAGTCTTGTTTCCACCCCAAAGCCCCAGCAGCATGTTTAACCACTGAAAATCCAGCTGAATATGGAAACACCAGTGCCTTCATGCTGCGCCGCCCTGCCAGTCTTTAACAGCAATAGGGGAAATGGGTTTTGAGCCTTTGGACACTGGCAGCTGATTTCTCTCCTCTTTGGTCTCAGCACCTGGGTGTGCTTGATTATTCTTTGCAATTAAAAAAGTGTGAAGTCTGAGAATGTCCCTGGGAGGGAAAGATGACCCATAGAAATTGAATAGAATAACTGGGGTTGGAAGGGACCTTTAAAGGCCATCTGGTCCAACCCCTCTGCCATGGGCATGGACATCTTCAACCAGACCAGGTTGCTCAGAGTCCCATCCAACCTGGCCTTGAACATTTCCAGGGATGGAGCGTCTACCACCTCCCTGGGCAATCTATGCCAGTCTCTCACCACTGTCAAAAAAGTTTCTTCCCTCTAATCTGATACATCACACCTTTCAGTTTAAAACCATTACTCCTTGTCCTATCACTACATGCCCTGCTAAAAAGTCTATCCCATCTTCCTTATAGGCCCCCTTTCAGTGTTGAAAAGCCACACTAAGGTCTCCCCAGAGCCTTCTCTCCTCCAGGCTGCACATCCCAACTCTCTCATCCTGTCTCATAGCAGAGGTGTTCACCCTTCACAGTTTGAAAAGAGCAGAATGTTTGCTCCTGCCTTGCAAAGCTCTGACTTCAAAATAGGCTGTGCCTGAGCCCAGCTCCCGAGGGGATCCCAGCTTCAGCACCCCAACATCCCATTTCCCGCACCAGGGTGCTTTCATTAACATGAGGTTACAGCTCTTTAAAAAACATGGTACAAAACAAAGCCCTCATGTTACAGGGCCACGGGCACCACACTGCATCCTGCAGCTCCATCCCCGAGCACAGAGCATTCTTCACAGAAAGCCCCTTGCACCATCATCCCTGGACCAGGCATGCACGCATACCTCCCATACACTCAGCATCCTCTGAGCCCTTCTGCTCTACCGCTTTCCCCAACCCAAATTCTCAGCACAGCAACCGGTGCCCTTGATGCTCCCTCCATCCCAATATTCAGGGAAAGCCAAGCACACAGACCAGCAAACCCCAGCAACCCGTGATCCCCACAAGCAGAAAGTTCACTGAACCGTATTTCTTATTTCCAGCCAAAACCTACCAGGAAGGATGGAAAGAGCCACTCAATCCACACGTGCCTTCAAAGGCACAGGAGGGAGATGTCAAAAATCAATGCTTCCCACAAGACATATGCCCGTGAGATGCCCCTGTGTGCTATTTATCCCAAACACTGTAAAATACACCCCTGTATCAAACACAGAGGCAGCTCTTGCTCTGGTACCTCCTTCTTTAACCAGCAGCAAGGCGAGATGTTGCTCCACACAAACCCTGGCTGCCTTGCGCCTCACAAGACACCAAGAAAGGAGAAAAAAAAAAGAAAAATAGGTCGAATCCTCCCTGCTTCCTACAGCCCTGGGCAGCATGCGGGCTTAGTAAAACACACACTCAGGAGCTGGTGTCTAATTAGACACTGGGGTCTGATCTGCTGCCTCCACCAAATTGCCCCCAGGCTGGGGGTAAGACAGGAGCCACTAAGAGAGCCATCCTCTCGCCTCCCTGCCCTGCTGCCTCGAGGGGTTTGTGGCTCCCAAAGTGCCCTCTGGAAAACAAACCCTATCTACATCTGCATTTCACAAGCAAGCCCCTGATTTAAGCGCTGCAGACAGAAGCCATCCCTTCCCCAGCTCGCTCCCCGCCATCCATCTCGGCAGCGAAACGTCTCCATGGTTGGAGATTTACGCTTGATTTTCTGCCTTTCTGCACTAGATAAGTAATTTCAAAATCCTGCTCTGCCCTCGGATGCTGGCAGAAACGGGGGGGCTCCCCTTGATGGCAAGCAGCGCTTTCCTGGCCCCAGCATCAAAGCCATTGAGTGCAGACAAAAGGGGGTTTAGAGGAGGAAGACCCTCGCCCAGCAAGCTTGTCATTGAGAGGAGAAATTAATTTCTTTGTTGCTTAAGATTTGGAAGGGAGGGATCCTTCTCCCAGCCAGCCCAGGCAAAGCACAAGGATCTGCTAAATCCTAATCCCCGAGACACCAGGTCCTGCCTAAACTCCTCCTAGGCCCTGTTTCAGGCTCAGCAACCAAGGCTGCTGGGGACCCTGTCCAGGGCATCAGGACCCAAAACCAAGGCATTTTGTCCCAGAGGCCTTGCCTGTGCCCTAAATCACCTCCAAATCAGTGGTTTTATACCTGTCCCCACTCCAGTCTGCTTGTGGAGTGGGAGCCAGAGCTTTGCAGTCACCAGAGCATCCCCATGGGTGGGATTTCCACAAGGGCATCACCCCCCCAGCTCCTCTCTGGGAGGGCAGCGCTGTTGTCTCCATGTGCTGGGAAGGAAAAACAAAATAAAAAATACCACAACGTGCCCCTGTGACCACATGGAGGATGGCATCAAGATGCTCTTTAATTTGTCCTGGGTGTTCCCGTAATCCTGCGCTCCACCCCAGTAATCCCTCCCTAGCTGGGCTTCCAGCACACAGCTGACTTTTCATTTGCCATAATGGAGAAGAAAAAAACCTGATTATTTGATTGGGTTTTTTTCCCTAAACACACATCACTGACTGGGTTGTGGTTTTTTTCCTCCTCTTAAATCTATTTTATCATCGCTGCAACAGTGACCCATGGATAAAGAGCACCAGTGGCAGCAGCACCCAGCCCAGGTCCCACGGGATTCCCAGCAGCCACAGGCTCAGCCTCCAGCACCTCCCAGAGCACCAAACCCTGCTAATTCGTGCTGCAATTTATACCAGGCTGCAATTTATCCACAAGCACCAGCTTTGTCAGACAGCTCCGCAATGGCCCGAGGTGCTGCTGGGGGTGATGGGTCTCCCTTGCAGTCACACTTTTGCAGGAGCTAAAAAAATAGTTCTTATTTTAGTGGATAAAGACATATTAAGGCCTTTTTCTGCTTTTTCCCCAGTCTTCCGCACTCCTCTGCCCCAGCCACAATTTCCCAGCAGATCTGAGTGTTCACCCAGCTGGCGGATGCTAAGGATGCTCTGTTTTGCAGCTGGGTCTGCGTCCCCACACCGATGTCCTGGAGGGCACTGCGCCGATGACAGCAGCACCAGGAGCTCTGCCTGCCTCCATTTTCAGGGCTGCTTCCCAGGCAAAGCACCCACAGCCTGCCAGGACCATCCTCCTGCCAGGCTTCCCTTGGGAAAGGGAATTTAGCTCTTTTACCAAGAAGAAAGAAAGAAATATATTGGCTGCTCTCTGCAAGCCCAAGTCTCTCCCACCTGCTGCTTCTCCCCCAAAATGGGGAAACCCACATCAGCTGCTTCTGCAGGAACCACTTGTGCATCCCATGGCTCTTTTGGTTCCTTGTCCCCAGCCCCGAAACCCCAGAGGCTGCCCTGTCACCGGGTACAACCACAGCATCAAGCCACACAGCCGCTTCCTGACAGAGCAAATTCTCCAAAGGCAGCAAACAGCCTTAAAATCTGTGCTTTTTTTTTTCCTCCCCCAAATTAATTTTTCATTTAAATTATATGATTTGGAGCTCTTAACTCAATTTTCCCCAAGCCCGGGGCAGGCTCTAACACCAGCATCTCCACCGTCACTGACAGTTTGACACCAACAGCACAAAGCAGCCTGTTCTCCAAATCTCGAGTTTGATCTAAATTAAAAGCAGCAAAGACTTTGGCGTTAACCGACCTGTCAAAACGCATTAACAATAAATGCCTGCCAGGCCTGCCCGGTGCAGGCTCCCTACCTGCGCTGTGTGCCCTTCGATTACCTGACACAAAACCCAGTGACAAACATGTCCCCAAGGTCTCCAGCTCCAACACAGCCTCTGGCCAGCTGCATTTGCAATTTCCCCAAATTTAGCCCTTTCTAGAAGATTTATTTTGATTTATTTATTGGATAATAATCTACTCCTGGCATCTCTTGGGCCCTGCGGCCCTCACAGCCTATTTAAGGGGGGAATTTGTGGTTTTGCTGACTCTTTGCAGGATGCTTCAGGAGAGGAAACCTGGAGTTTCCCCTCTCCCCCCTTGCTAAGCCCTTTGCTCCTTGGAGGATTTCGCGCTCCTGCTGCTCCGCAGGCAGGATTAGGGATTTACATACAGGTGGGGCACCGGGCAGACCTCAATCCCCCTCCACCCTCACTCCAGCTGGAGCTGCAGAGGCTCAGCCCTCACCCCACACCTCCCCAGTGCTCCCTTGTGTATGGGGAGGGGGGCACACACTGAAGCTCTGACCGTATTTCCTGCCAAGGGTCTAAAAAGCCACATTTTCAAGGCATGCTGAAACAAAGAGAAGGGGAAAACAGGGCAGTGAGGATGTGCAGCACCCACTGCTGCCTCTGACCGGCCTCAGAATGGTTTGTCAGAGGGCTCACCTTGCTGGGAAGCATCTTTGGGCCAGACTGGGAGAAATAGACACCTCAGAGCAGCTTCCTATAGGACTGAGCTTGCTCCGTTCATGTCCAAGATCAGGAAACAGAATGGAGATTAAGAGGAAAAAAAAATTAAAACATCAGTGCTAGACAGGAGGGGTATTTTACATCCAAGATGAGCAGCAGCAGCATTAAGGAAGCTGTTTGATCGCCTGCCCATCACTGTCTGCTGGGGAGCTCCTAAAGCATCCCTGGCCATCAGAAGCCTTGGGAGATGCAGAGATCTCAGCCCATTTAGCAGCCATGGGACATCTCCAGCATCTGAAGGGCTGTTAGCTGTTGACACACAGACATCACGTGCCTCTGCAGGCATTTAGATCATGGTAATGGGATATAAATATCTAATAGCTGAGAAAATGCTTTTGTACAAGGCTCCACAGCTCTCCCTTCTCCCCAGGTGCAGGCATCCAAGCAGAAGAGCTTATCTCAGTGCCTAAAAATCACTTTCTCTTCTAAGACCCTCTGTGAGAGACACCCAAATCTGCTCTGCCACAGAAAATGTACTATTATATGGAATTTTAGGATGTACCTGTTTCTTGGAAGTGCTCTTCATTTGAGAGGGTTCTGGATAAGATGAGGATAAGTGCTTCTTTAAATTGGTCAAAGTGGACCTGTGGGGGGAAAAAAAGGAAGAGAGGAGGAAATCAACGGGTGCAGATAATGAAATATCAGGCAAATAATCCAGCACGAAGACAGTGCAAATCACTCAGACCACAACATAGAAACAGGAGCACTCCTGTGTCTGCCAAAAACCTTGGCAAGGGGCATGAAAGAACCTCAGCTCATTCAGTCCTGAGCCTGGAGAAACAACAGCAAGCAACCCAGCATTTCTAGCACATGGAAAAAATGATTGCTATCACAGAATTTCCCCAAGCCACTGCTTTAATGCATTGGTTGGGTTTTTTTCCATCAAACAAGCAGCCGAAATAACACGTCCAGAGGACCAGGGAGCATCTCCATCGCTTAAAATGACCTGGTCAGGGCTGGCAGCTCCCACAGTGAGATCCCAGTCCTGACAAGTGACGAGATGCTCAGTTATAAAAATGCTCCGCTGCCCTAATTATGCTCCAGAAAACCCTTTCCAAAGCGGACAGCAGAAAGTCTCACCCTTTCCAGTGCAGCCCTGCCCCAGCCTTGCTGCAGCTCCACGGGAGCTGAACTGGAAATACCAGTGCAACTACGGGAAAAACAAGGAGGGATGCTCCCACCACTGGGTTTTTTGTTGTTTTATTTTTTTCCCCTCGTTTTCCATCTGTGCCTTCCTGGAAAGCTTCCTGCCTCACCATCAGGAGCGGTAGCAAAGGGGCCGCAGCATCTTTGCAGCCACGCCGGGGAATGCCAGCAATCCCAGCCGCGGGGGATGGAAACGGGGGACAGCTGGGGAAGGCATTTGACACGGGTCAGTGGCGAGGCAGGGCTGGCTGCTACCGCTTCTTCTGGCTAAATAACTCGGCGGAGAATTTTTAGCATTGAACGAGAGACTTTGCATTTCAAGAAGCCACCGAGGTTGCTCTCGCTGGCAGAGCCGATGGCTGCAAATACAGCACGAAAGGCACAAGCAGCAAAGTTCAGGTCTGAAGTTTGCCAACTTGTTTTTGGGGGTCAAGACAGCCCCAGAAAAAGAGCAATACACCTGTGGATAGTGGCAGAGGTGGGAGCTCAGCTGTGGTCCCCCCACATACTACAGTTCAGGCAGTGCGACCCACCCCGACAGTTCTAAACAGGGGCTCCCCCAGTAATTAAACAGTTGGAAAGATGCTCAGCAAGGAAAGTTGTCAGGAAAAAAAAAATACTAATTGCTGCCATTCACTTCCAAGGGCTGGTGTACTTCAAAAGGACAGTTTACAGAGACAGGAGAATTTGCCTGATTAAAAAACCTTGACATTTAGACTAAATGAGGATGAATAAAAGATGAGGGTGTTTGAATAACAGGTGTGTGTGTCCCCCCACGGGATCTTCTCGGGGAGGAAATGGTGAGAACAGCCACAGGGACAGACAGAGATGGTCCCTTAAATGGGTGCTGGGGCTGGGTTTGGATGGGACCTCACAGCAAGAAAATAAAATAAAAATTACTTTTAATTGCTTGTGCAATTACATTGAATGAGACAGCAGAGTAAAACCACCTGGGGAAGGGCAGAGAGCCCCATGGACAGATCCTGCTCTGCCTAACGAGTCCCATCGCTCACTTTTGCAGAGAAGCCCTAACGAAGAGGAGGAAGGAAGAAGGGGGTGAAAGAGGAAGGGGGGACTGAGCTGCGTGTGGGACAGATGGCTCTAGTGTGGAGGCCACAGAGTGATTTTACCATGACCGCCAAATGCGCTGGGGAAGATTCAGTGCAGGGCAGGCAGCAGCCACCCTGCAGTTCCCCGTGCCAGCGCCGCAGCCACTGTGCAGCAGGCTTTACACATTTGAAATGCAAATCAGCAGCACAGACACACAGCAAGGCCCGGAGGGGTCCAAAAACACCTTCTGAGTGGCAGCACCCCACTCTGTGGGTGCAGCTCAAGCTGGCAGAGATACTTGGGAAATATCCCCAGCAGTGTCCTTACACCCTATCTCCATCCAGTTACACTCCAGGGTGCACGAAGGAGCGATGTGCACCCCCAGGAGATATAAAGCAGGCACTGGGCTGCTTTATATCTCCTTTATACACCCTTTGGTGTTTTGCTCGGAGGATATTCCCAGCAAAAGGATGGGACTGGGCAGCCCAGGGAGCAGAGCACTAATGGCACAAAGCACCATCTGCTTCCAGGAAACAGCCTTGGATGCTCAAGACAACCCAAAAACTTTACAAGTGCAAGGCACAAAGTCTACACCAGCGAAACAGTGCCAGAGTATTTAAAGTTTAATGCTCTTTTTTAATGTGCTCGACTGAATTTGGGGTATTTCGGAAGTGACAGCTTGTGCATCTGCTCATGGGGGCCTCGAACAGCAACTCAAGGGCTGACTCAAACCAGCAGAGTTTGGGGGTCGATGGCAGAGCATGCATTCATGCCCACCCCGAGGCATCGATCAGGGACAGTCCCGGCAAACCCCACAGCAAGACCAGGGCTCTGCACAGCACCGGGAGCACGGCAAGTCCTTGGTGAGGAGAATTTTCCCAGAACAAGCAAATCAGAGGCAAAAAAGACCAATACACCACACAGACACAGCAAACCCAGCCCAGCTTCCCCCGGTGATCAAGGACCAAGCAAGCAGCGGCTGCTGAGCAATCCCAGTGCCTCCGAGAAATCTTGACGCCAGCTTTAAAGCAAGTTTCCGATGAAGCTGTGACTTAATAGCACTCAAAAGAGAGCATGTGTGTGTGCCAGGATACCTGCTGCTCCTCGCTATCTGTCCCTGCAACGCAAAGCGGAGCCTGCAACCCTGGTCTCTCCAGGGTGAGCCAGCACTGGTGGCTCCATCCAGCTCCTGGAGAGGAGAGTCCTTTGCCCAAAGCCCTGGCCCTGCTTGCAAACCCCTTCCAGCAGCAGCAGCTGGAAGGTTAGAGAGGGACATGGTGGGGAAGGCATAGGGACAGGGCAAGCTTGCAACCAAGCCTGCCAGACAAGCAAACAACGACCGTGCATTCAGGGCATCAGCGTCAGAGCGGGCGCAGAGGGAGTATATTTGGAAGAGGTCATCAGCCAAAGCATGGAAAGGAGCTGATGTGTGAAACCCCACGCCACGGTGTCCTGGCCGCAGGTTTGCTAATGCAATAGCGGGCTGAAACCTGAACTCCCCATCCCTGCTTGAGGGCGGCCAAAGGACGGTCCTTGGGCAGGGTCCAGAGGTGCCTGACTCACCCCATCCCTGCAGATCATAACTGCAGTCACCATTGCGGCCCATGAGCGCTGCTTGTGCCTGAGCTGGGGAATTAAACCACCCCTCCGAGGCAAAACGAGCCGGGCACGGCTGCAGGAAACAGCCTTGTCGGGGAAACCCAGGAATCACAGCAAGCATCGCCTCCGCACACCATTGCATGAGAAGCTGCTCTGGGATGGGCTGGCTCTGCCGTGAGTCAGGGCACAATTTACACCCCCCACCAGACCCAATAAGCCCCAAAACACGGCACAGAGCTGGGGGGAGGGAAGCAGCGCACCCATCCCCTCATCAAGATCCCAGCTCAGCTCCCTGTCCAACCAAACAGCTCCAGCACGGCACATTCACCCTCAGAGCAGACCCCCTGGCACAAAAGCAAGCACGTGGCCTCACCAAGTCACCTCCTTGGCGGACAAAACATCCCCCCCCTCCCCAGTGCCCTCCCATAAATCCCAGTCCCTGGAAATGCAGGCAAACAAAGGATGCTCCCAGCGCCAAGAGGGACCATCTGCAGCACGGGGCAGGTGCAAGAAGCCTGTGCTCGGGGATAGTCTGCTGCTATTCTCCCAACATGTTTGCTGTTATTCTCCCGATAAGCTCCCTAGGAAACCCTCAGGATTCGATAGCTATTAAATCAGGCTGTCACTCAGATATGGGCCATTGCTGCTGCTAACGAGCACAAACGCTGGGGAGACAGGAGAAAACGAAGGCCACAAAGATTATTTTGACATTTGAGGTGCCACGGGTTGTAAACAAGAACCATCCCCATAGACAAAGTGGGATGAAATGAAATAAAAGTGCTCCTGGGGATGCCTTGTGCCCTGGGACAGCTTGCAGGGATGGAACTCCAGGCTGGGATGGGGTGAGCGAGACCCAGCACTCAGGATGCTTTAGCAGGGCCTTTTTGGGTTGAGCATTTACTGCATTTAACTTTGCTTTTCACCCACTCTGAGCAGGGACGAGCGCTGTTGCTTGAACCCTGGCCAAGTGTGACAGCCACATCTTCAGTGCTGCTCCTCCTCTCCCTCCATCCCATCATCCTGCGAGTGGCAAGGCCAGGTAACAGCATCCCAGCAGCGGAAGCTCGAGACGGCCAAGCAGCACAGTCTCAAGTGAGATGAGTCTCCAGTGCTCAAGCAAATGCCACGCTACAACAACTCCAAAGGTCAGAAACCTCCAGATCCAGCCGTGCTCCTGTCAGCAGAAGAACTGCGGCCCCAGGGCAGGCAAGGATGAGGAGGCTTCGTTCGTTACAGGAATTATTCTGTTTTGTGAGAGCTGCAGTTTGATAGGAAACTGGAATCAGGATGGCTGCTGAGCTCCTGTCTGTTGAGAGCCCTGGCCGCCCTGCTCCGTTTTCTGATTTTAATGAGCAGTGATGGGATTTCAGGGTGATTTCAAGGAAAGCATCCGATGTGCTCCAAGCACAGCATGCTGGGAAGAAGGAAATGCAAGAGCACAAGGACATCCACGATGAACACTGAGGTCCCCCTAAGGGTGAGCAGCTTCTGCTCAACGCCCTGGCATTTAACTCTATAAAGGTACAAGCACAACTGAAAAAAATGGCTTTGGAAAGCACGGGGTGCTTAGCAGCCACAGCTCCCCTCTACGGGCTGGGGGGATGCTGCAGCCCTGCAGAAGATCAGGGCCATTTGTCCCCAAAAATCTGTCCCAGCTGGGTCTGTGTTACTGACCCTGGGTAACATGGACAAAGGCAGCTCAGTCAGTGAGTGCTGGAGCTGAAAAATATTCCCCACTTTAGAGAAACGTGCACGATGGCATGCAGCCCCGCCAGCTTAACTACAGCTTAAGCCAAGGTAAATCACAGGTTCAAGCCCTGACTTTAGGTCCCCATCGCTCCCCCAGCACCACAAACACCCACTGAGCTGGTTTGGGCCCAAAATGGCATTAATGGGTGCTGAGGTAGCACCTGTGCTGTGCAAGCATTGGTGGCAAGGGCAGCAGGGACCCAGCTCTTGGTCTGGCCTTGGACACTGGGAAAACACACCCAACACCAGTACAATGCCAGCACATGGGGCTAAACCCCCCACATCACACCCCATGGTCACCCCAGCCTTACCCTGCCTAGGAGGTTGCCTTGGAGCAGGGTCTGCTGCAGCGCGGGGGCCACCTCCTCTAGGTGCAGCATGTGGCAGAGGTCAGTGAGCTCCTCCTGCCCCAGCGACCCCGTGCCCGTGCTGTCAAAGCTGTCGAAGAGCTCCTTGAGGCGAGCTTCATACTGGTCCTGCTCAGCTTCATCCATCCCATAGCCTGCCACGCTCACCTGTGGGGAGAGACGGGGATGGTAAGCATCAACCATGGGGGTGGCAAACCCCAAAGGGTAGCCCACAAGGTCATATGCTGCCGATTTTGTTCGCATTAAGTAAACCTGGTGCTCTACCACCCCTCCAGCCGCTTGCTGGGTGAAGTCAAAGTCACACAGCAGAAAGACCAAGGGGAAAAAATGCTTGGGGTGGGGACAGCGTGGGTGGCCAGGGCCAGGTCCCCACCTGCCACCTCGCCCTGGAGCAGCTGCAGGGGAAAATTGGTCCCTTGAGCCCTGCTGGCTCCCAGGGGTTGCAGGTGATGCTTTGCCAGCCTTAGTGAGGAAATAAACAACCATCCCAGCAGCACCGGCTCACCAACAAAACAGTTTTTCATTTCTCTCATCCCATCACTAAGCAGTGTTGCAGCCCCAGGAACTGTTTTAGGAAGGGAATTTCCTGTCTAAAATGAAGGATTTGGCTGGCATCTGTGGCTGCAGGGCTCCCCGCTGGTTTGGGGCAGCAGCATAACCCAGCACACGACACAGCCTTGGGGTGCCCAGCCACTGCAGGGGAGGTGCCACCACCCCATCATCACTGGGGCACACCGTGTGGCAGCGGGCACTGCAGGGACTCAGCACCCCAAGGACACAAGCCCAGGATGCTCGGCCAACCTCAGACCACCAGCCAGGTCTCTACGTGAATTTAGTTTTGCTCACACTGCTGCAAGTTGTCTCAGCCAGATTTCCCAAAGCTTGGGGGTCCTATCCAACCCCCCAGCTCTGCTATGGAGCAGCCACTCTCCTCCTTCCTCTCAGCATTGCGATGCTCCCGGCCACCCCAGAACAAGCAGAGCTGCCCCAACTGCCTGGCTGCCCCATTTCATCCCCCTGCCCACCACCACAGCTCCGAGGCACGCATTGACCTCCAAGAGCATTGGGAACCACCCCATCAGCTTGCACAAGTGCCCCGTGGCAGAGGGAAAAATGGGAATGGGCAAAGGGAAAAACCCATCCCACCACCACTGCTGAGTAACTGGGAAATGTCTGAGGCAGACACTGCAGCAGCCACATCCTTGATTTTGCTGGCCGCAGGAGTGGATGCCAGTGGCAAGGGGCTCCCGCTCCTGCTGAGGGATGCAGGGCCGATGCCAAGCACCACACAGGAACCAGTGGACAGAAATAGCCCGTCCTGGCTGTCCTTCCTTCTGCAAGGACAGGTACAAGGACAGCAGCAGCACCAGACCTCGAGAAAGTGGACACAACCCCTCCTCAAATCACCCAAAAAACTCAGGTCCCTGCAAGCAGAAATAAGGCAGAAAACTCCTTTCCCAGTTCTCACACCAACAACGCCATTTCCCACCAGTACCCACGGGGCTCAATAGCAGGTACCAGCATCAGGAGAGCCCTGTCTGCTCCAGCAGCCCCAAAACTTACAGTCAAGCCCACAGCAAAGGTAACACCAACCCATGGAGCTTTCCAGCCATTTTGGGACCCCTTATCTCCAGGGTCAGCCACCTCCAGCCCCCCAGATACCACTCCAGCACCCAACCCTACTTTCACACCCTCAAAACCAGTTCTCTCAGTTAGTGCTGAGAGACAAATGCCACCTACCAACATGTCCCCAGGCACCCATTGGGGTCACCCCCTCTCCGCAGGCAGCCCCAAAAACTTGCCCCAGATGAGTCCAGGTGGGCTGAGCGAGGAGACCATAAGATCAGCAAGAAAAATCCAATCCCCAAAGGAGAAGAGCATTGGATGCTGGTCTCTGCTGGGGCCGCACTTGCCCTACACCCAGTTGAGTTTTTGGCTGGGGCATGGTGGCCCCGGCAGCCTTGCGTGTCTCCATGGACAGGGATGGTTGGAGCTCACTGGGCTCGGCACATCCCAGCCACTCCAGGGAGGGGATTTTGTGCTTTCCAGTGTAAAAAGCACCAGAAATCATGACATAAAGAGCAAGGCTCCTTGCCTACCTGCAATCAGTCAGTGACGGCGAGCTGCCGGTAGCCAGGAGATCCCGCACGCATCCTGCACAACCTCCATCTTAGGCAGCCGGCTCCGGCGCACAGCCGGCTGCGCAAGGTGACCCGAGATGCCTACTCCTGGCTGAATTATTCAAAGGGTGGAAAAAATCCACAAAAACCTAAGCTTCCTCCCTGACAAGGCTGCCCAGCATCACCCAGCAGTCAAAATAATGAGGGCAGCGGCATCAGAGCCCCCAGCCGCCCTCCATCCGCACCCTGGACCTGGCAATGGGAGAGCGGCAGCAGAGAAAGGGCTAAAGGGGGAGGGATAGAGGGGGGGAAACACAAGAGGCACACAAAGCCTGAATGAAACCCCAGCCTTTCATCCCCGCTCCAGATGGGCCAGCAGCTGAGATGCAGGAGGGCGCCCGGAGCTGGGGATAATGGGGGCGGGCAGGCAGCAGCTGAGCCGGGGCTCCCCCATCCCTTGTGAGAGGCCGCTCCCTGCATAGGGCATCACTTTGTTCAGATTTATAGCTTCTCTTCTGGGGCCCGTTAAGTCCCCCAAAATGACCGGCTTAAGCAGGCAGCACAGGTTTAAGAGAATTACTTGGAGCCGTACCCACATTATTCTTTATTTCTCCTCTCCCTATACCAAGTCCCAGGAAGCAAAGTACTCAGAGATGATGAGAAAAGGATGTTTTCACCAGCGTTTCTTTCCTTCCTTTAAATCCACCCCCTCCTGAAAGCCAGATAACCTTCACGGTGCACAATGCAGAGGCCCGATAGAACTGAATTCTCAGCTAAATTTAACTCAAACAATATAGGCTTAAATGGTAATTACCGCTTCGCATATTAAGCACCTGGAACCAATATCAGCCTCCAAGATTTAGCCTCAGACTAATGGAGCCACAGATTACCCGGTCAATCAAGTAAAAAGCACTACAATTAGCCTTTTTTTGTGCAAAAACAGTATTAATGCAACCAGCACGTTTGGTGCTGCACAGTGGCATGGCGTGGAGATGCTCAGCATCACCAAGGGTTGGGCTGCATCACCAACCGCCCCTCTCCAGGGCACATGGTCACGGGCAACGCTGTCTCCACCCCAGAAGGCAGCGGTCACCTCCTTGAAGCCGTCTCCTTCCAGGGACAGCAAAGAAAATGTCATTTTTGGCATTACTCCTGATTGCCTCGACTCAAACGAGGACCTGGCAATTAGCAGTGTGCCAGCAGAGCATCACGTGGTCACCTCCAAAATGTAACCGCTCGGTGGCAGTCACCCCATGTTGAAGAGCAGGGCCACATGTGGGCAGGTTAAAAGCCACTTGGGACAACCAAGATTATATGAATGAGGCTGGCAAAACGCACCAGGACCCGGGTTTTTAATGGCAGGGTTTTATGATGGGATGCCCCATAGCCACTGAAACCAGGCCCTTGAGCTGGAAACCTGGAGTTGGGGTTGCCTCATCTACCTCATCATCTCCTTTCCCTAATGGGCCATCTCATCCATCGCAGCTGCCTACACCCCTAAAGCCCCACACCAGGGTGATTTCGGAGCTCAACCCACCCCACAGCACCATGTGCTATTGGAGAGCAGCAGCTCCACATAGGGTTACACCAAGAAACCAAAGGGTAAAAAATAACCACAAAACCAAACCCAAGAGGACAACGAAGCACCCAAATATCAGTAAATCACTCGACAGCACGCCCGGCTCCTCAAGGGTCACCACCAGTCAGCTGTGCAGCTGGCAGTCTCTCCTCCCCATTCATTGAGCATGCTCATAATTTTTGCAGCCCAGCGCTGGCTGCTTTGCACCTCAATGCCACCTCTCCCCGTGCTCCCCAAAAACACACAGCCAAACCCTCCAAAGTTGGCAGAGAAAAGAAATTCTGTTAACCAAGCTTCACTCCGGATGAGCAAAGCAGCGATGGTGTATAAAGCACTATAAATTTATGTAAAGAGCTTCAAAAGAAGCGCAGCAGTTTGAATATTCACGCCAGCCCGGTATTTGCATTGTAATAGCGCCTTTCAATAAGCAGCCTTCCCCTCAAGTGCTAAAAACAAAGCCCCCATCTGTTTTGATTTTGCAAATCGGTCGGAGTTGGGCTGCAATGACTCGGGGAGCCCTGAGTGCAATAAAGCCCAAGGTAGGGGCACAAAGCTGCTTAGTGCAGAAGTAAACAAAGCAAGATGGCAATTTAGGCAGAAATAAGGGATTCGGTAATTCCTGCGGCGCTCATCCCTGCGCCGGCTGCGGTAACCACCGGCTGTGCTGAATCACGGCGATAACGCCACGCACCCATTGCGCTGCCGGGACCTCCCGCCGTCACCCCCGTTTTTGGGAGGAAATGGGGGAAGATGAGCAGAATCAAGGCACCCACCCAAACTGACACCCACTCGCACAGCAAACCCCCGGCATCCCCAGTGGCTGACCGTCCCAGGCTGCGAATTTGGGTTTTCGTGGCCCCAGCCCCATCCTTACCCGGATGCGCCGGAGGTGACAGGCCCACAGTCGGTGACCAGACAGCAGATGCCGCCTGCCACCCTGGTGACAGCAAGGGCTTCACCAATGACAAACCCACCTCTGTTGTTAATTCCCTCAGCCCTAGCCCACTGCTCCCTCACCTCAGCCCGGGGAGAGG